GGCCGCCCGCTGGCGGTTGTACCCCTACTAGCAGAGCGGAAGCCAAGGCCCTTCTTGAACCCGTCCCGCCCTCGACTGAGCTCTACTTCATCTTCCTCCTCCTCCATGATATCCCCTCCATCCATTTCCCAGGGGGCTTTACTGTGAAAGCGCATCTTCGGGCCTAGAAGGCTCATCCGGGGATCAGGTTCTTCATGCTCCGCTTCAGACTCTTCTATAGGGTTCTCTTCCTCGTCAGAGTGTGAAGAGGACGATTCGTCGTCCATGTCTAGCATGCTTTCGGCGAGTTCGTTCAGACGATTCCGTTCGGGGGTCAGATGAACAGTCATGGGCGAGCGATATAAATGGAGTGAGCGAGTCTCGGCAACTTCGTTTGGGCGTGGTGAAAAGAATGGCGCAGAGTAAACGGATGGGGAGTCGTAGTCGATAGCGGCTGTTCGTTGAGCGAGAAGAGAGCGTATTTGAGCTTCGTGAGCAGCATCATGGGTTTCGTGTCGCAACATTGGCCCCGATGGCAATAAATACGGGTGTGGCGACCCGCCCCGTCAGCAGTCACTGGTCAAGCTTCAAGTTTGGCAGAAACAACAAGGCGAAGTGGAATGATCGTTTCAAGATCTTGATGATCGATCATTCGATCAGAGGAATCAAATTGTCTTTCTCTTTACGGTGGTGCGATGAGCGACGCTGCAGTCTCATTACCCTCTTCGTCCAACGGCCGTGTCTCCGGGAAGTCATGGAAACCGAACAAGACAGCTACCAAGTAAACAGCGTCCCCAATTTGCTTCTCATCTGTCTAACTGTAATGTTCCAGTCGATCGCATCTGCCTGAAAATGTGAAAACGAAGTCCTGGGAGGAACGAATGACGGCGCAAACAAAGATGGCAGCCGTGAAAAAGCTGGAAAAAGAGCTGAAAGAAGAGAAACAAGCTGAAGCAACGCGGTGTGTAATGATCCTCCTGATTTTGCTGTCTTACTGAACACTGTTTTTCAGCCGAAGAGAAATCACCTTAGCTCGAAAGAGAGCAGCAGAGGAGCGAAGGAGATTAGAGGAGGATAAGGCGAAGGTGTGTGGTCTTGTTCCATTCTGTGCCGGCAGCCCAACTAACTGATGTTCAGATGGGTGCTCGTAAAGCTGCACGATTGCGGAGGAAATTGGGCCGTTCCAAGAAAATCAACGGATAGGCCATGAATCCATACCACACCGTGCCCATTATGTATTACTAGATCTGTTATTATAATGCCCAGCTGATATCGACCTCGCCCTCTTTGACGAAAGGTTTATCCAACCCTGCGACCACACTTTCGCACAAGGGACAACTGCTTGCCAACAAATCCTCGAGCTCAGCCCTCAAACGTTCCGACTTGACTTTCTTGGTCTCGTCGGACTCGAGCCCGTTCCGTCGGCCGCCCATTCCAGGCATCCATGCAGGGGCAGAGACGACTGCGGCCAGGGCATCAGGCACGATGAGGTCTCGCAGCTTGTCTCCTGCAGAAAGAAGGTTCCGGCCGATCGCTCGCGTCCCTGTTTGCAGGGGGTTCACCACAAAGTTGGCGGAAAGGAGTGTTCGCTGCGCCGTTCCTTGGCGGGACTGCAGGCCGGAACCATTTAAATGCGGGGGCGCAGGTGCACCTTTCACCAGTTCATTCTGCAGAGCTAGTATGCGCCGCAGAGCATGAGGAGGCAGATATTCTTTCGCCTGATTAGAACATGATCAGACAACAGTTCGATCGAGAACAGTGCTAGTGTAACTGACCAGACCAATCAGACAGTCGGCATGGAAAGTGTGGCGACATGGGAAGACGTAGAACTGCCGGGTGAGCAGTTGGTGGGAGCAGATAGAACACTGTTCGCCAGCGTCCACAGTGACAAATCGATTCTTCAGGGCAACGATGTCCTCCTTGATCGAGTCTGCAGTGCGCGTTGCCTCGTCCATTTTGCTCTTCAGCTGAATGATCTGGCTCGAGTATCCTTCAAGCGCATTCGTGATCTCTTCCTTGAAGTCATCGATGACCACAAAGTCCGGGAAAAAGGGCAGGACATCTTCGATCTTGAGTAGGTCCGTGTTTTCCAGAAATCGCATGGCGCTATGACGGTATCAGCACATGCATAAACTCAGACGAACGAAATAGCGCACGTTTTGATGTCCTTCTTGTCCTGGACCACATAACGGGCGATTTTGAGCCACAGTTTCTTGCGAAGTGGCTCGTCATCCTCTGGTTTATCCGCATTCAGTTTGGCTAATTCGAGATCGCCCTTTTCAAGCGCCAGATCGACACTATTCTCCCAAAGACCCATTTTCGAGTAGATATGCACGCAAGGCTGTGTCCTCCCGGCTGTCTTGCACAGTCGCAGCGCATAGTCAAGGTCGTAGTATGGCTTGTCGGTGAGTGGGTCGGATGGTGCAGTCGTGAGAAAGCGCAGCAGAGGCCCGTCATCATCAGGCCCCGATTGATTCTTCAGTGCCGTTGCAGAAGGACAGATGTACAGCGTTATCATGAGGTTGTGTATCGTGGGCAGGGTGTTCATCTGCTCATATATCACGTGGTTCAGATATCGGATGGCCTGGTTCGGTGAAAGCGGGTCCCTCGGGGTATATTGGAGCTGGAGCAGCGCCGGAATGAGCCGAACCGGATCCAACGCAGGCTGCTTCAGCCATGAGTCCACTGTCCCTTTTGGGGAATGCCTCATCAGCACAGGCGCGAATCGATAATACAATTCGAGATCGGTCTGGGGGCAAGTTCACGTCAGCATTCGAGTGCATTGGCGCATCATCACACCTGGCGATTGATCACATCGATCGCTTTGGACCACTCCTCCTCGGAGACCCAATGCTCGATCACGCGCTGGAAGTCGCCAATGACATTGGCGTAGTGCAGATACATGTCCGTGCGACCATGCCCCTGGATCAATTCGTAGACGACGGAAGAATCCAAATGGCTCTGCCCGCAAGTAAGATTCGAAAACAAGAGATTGGAACAAACCGCAAACCTTATACGTCTCCAGAAATTGCCGCAAATCGTCCTCCAATATGGTCCGTTCTGCTTGTAAGTTTTCGACGTCGTGTGATACGGACTCGGAGGCCACAATATCATCCAACTCGTTGCACTTGCTCAAATAGAACTCGACGAGCCATGTCGAAAGCATCATGCGCTGGGTTATGTCCTGATGTGCTGTCAGCAACTTCTGCGAGGGTTGACTGAAGCACCGTACTCCTTTTCGCGTTCGCTCTAAGCGCGATATCAAATAAGAGCGCAGAGCATCTCGCTCCCCAGCATCCAGGAACTTGAGGGCGACTTCCTCGAAAGTTACAGAGCATTGAGCGAAACATTGAGCGGCTTGGAAATACCGCCCTTCGTCGAAAAAGGCGTTGGCCTGCGCAGAAAGCACGTGGTCCCGTTGGCTGGCAGTCTGCCCCAAGAGTCAACATGACATGACATAGTGCACGAGCGCGGTCGGACACACCTTGGCGTAGCGTAGTGCCACATCGAACTTCCCAGTCTGAAGATAGATCTTCCACACATCACGATCCTCGTTGTCCACCACCAATTCGAACAACGACTGATCGGTGAAAACCCAGTACGTTTTGCGCACTGGATCTGCACATAGACCTTTCACTTGCTCATTCGGTTTCTACAACAAGAAGTCAGGGCAAGCTCAATTGAATCGAACGGAGCTGACCAGAGGCAGAGATTCTTCGTAGGTCTCCTTCTTGTCCAGATTGCAGATGCCAACGACACGATCGTGGTATAACAGAACAAAGTGGAACTCTGTCAACGCTATCGATAGTGGAGGACCGATAGGACCGGAGGAATCGAATGTCGTCGGATACGGTAAAAGGTCTCCCGAGTCAATGAAGTTGTCCGAGGACGATTGGAAGTTGAGTGTTCCGTGGTATATGCCGTGAGCTAGGAAGCAGACAGGTTCGATCAATGAACAAGAGATAGAACCGAATTTACGCACATGTCAACCAAGCCATGCTCCTTGGAAGCGACAACGCCTGATCGGCATTCAAAGAGAAGTAGTGCAGCTCCGATTTCTTGTCCCCTGGCAGTTCAAATACTTGCGGCTGACCTGTGAAGAGACTAGAGAAGACTCTACTTCCGTCTTCTGCCCTGCGATCCGGCGGACCCGAGAATTGGTATATGCGGCTATTTGTTGTCAGGACAGCAAGCACTTTGCGTGGGTCGGATGGCGGGAAGAAGTCGAACTTGACGCCTGTGATAGCCTGGCGCTCGCGCAAAGTGAGAACCGTTTGCAAGTAGCGGTCCGGAGACTTGAAGAAGTCTTCCTCGGCGTCAATGAGTGCCTCGTAGAGCACACCGTTCTGAGCACCGATCAACATCTCACGCGTAGACTTTGCATACGAAGCCGAGAGCAGCGCCGCTTTGTTCCATGCTACACACTCGATGATCATCCGGAACGTCTTGAGCTGACGCGGCTTTTTCCACCCGCGGTAGAGATACCAGTTCTCTCCTTGAAGAGATGTCACGAGTATGTGGCGGCCGGATGGATCCATGAATATTTTGTGAATGGTCATTTCGTTCGGTTTGCGGGGTATGGGAATTTGGATGACCTGGTCGGAGCGCGACAGCTCTATAAGAACGATGACGTTGGTATTGAGAGCCATTGCAAGCATGTCTGAGCAGACTACGAATGCACTCAGAGGGGCCGGGAAAGGATATTGGACTCTGCATAGGTCGAATATCGGTGCTGCTGCTGCTGCTGGATCTACGTCCTATATTGCTAGTCAGAACACGACTTCAGCATTACTACGGTGACGCACAGGCATGTCCTCTAGAACAACATCTTCCACATCCTTAGAAAGCGGTTCAAAGCCTTGATATTGGAGTTCAGGTAACGGAACGGCAGCGGGTGCCGCAGCATGTTCTACATCTACTCGGAGAATGAGATGAGACACGCGAGAGTTTGAGGGAACGACTGGCAGTCATCAAACATAGCGGGCACCAAGTTACAGCCCTACGCGTTTCGTTCGGACTTCCTGCTGTCCTGCAGTCCTACTGGCCACGGTGGTGTTCGGCTGTGGTGTGAAGTGGTGCTTATGTCATCAACATCCAGACTATAAAGGGTAAGTCCACCATCTCTGCCTTCGTCATTCTAACGATGTCGCGTCCTATGCCCCGTCTGTTTGGTGCGGCAGATTGTATCTCTTTCTGACTGGAAGTAACAGTGCCTTCAAGTTATCCGACATGGAGAGACTGAATGGAGTCTATCGGGCAGACATGTAATCTTATCTCGCCTCCGATCTGCACGAGGCTCACCGCGGACGTTCTAGACTGGTCGGTCAGACATACCCCTGACGGAGCGCGGCGAAGGGCAGATCAAGGCGCAGGCGGACATTCTCGTCGGTGAAGGCAGTAAGCATCACTTCCAAACAACGATTTCGAACACACACTGACCCCATTGGTCACAGAGGTCATTGATCCCAAGAACTTGTGCACCGTGTTTGTGTCGCCCCGCATTCGCGCACACAAGACCTTCCACCTCTTGTTTGCGAACGTGGAGACGCCCCACCATATCTTGACCGAAGAATGCCGGGAATGGGATTACGGTACACCGTCTTATTACCGGTATGTCCATGTCACTCAGAGTTACAGGTGATTATGAGGGATTGTTGTCGTCGGAGATCAAGGCCAAGAACCCCACCTGGTCTATCTGGAATGATGTAGGCCACTCGTCGTTTATATGGACATTCTCACCGTCCTTCATGCAGGGATGTCCTGGTGGCGAAAGTGTATTAGAGATGCAGAATCGGGTCGACGCAATCATCGTCAAGGTGCGAGAATATCATCGCCAATATCTCGAAGAAGGCCTTCACACCCGAGACGTCTGCATTGTGGCCCATGGGTATCCATTTCCTCTTGCAGATCGTCCCATTCTCATACAGCAATGGTCCATCAGGCATTTCAGTCGAGTCCTGATCTCTCGCTGGATCAATTTCGATCTTTGCCTCGGTATTTGTTGCTACTTCAAGAGGAGAGCTTCGGTCTCACTTTGACTCCAGGTACTCACTTCAATGTGGAGCCGGGAGGTGTTGCTTACCTCGGGTACAACCACCACTCTCTCAAAGAACCGGCATTAAATGCTCTCAATCTCTATGCCAAGATTGACTGATTGCGGTTGTTCCTCTTATTCTGATAGAGACGAGGGACAAAGAAGGGAATTTAGAATATGTGGTTGTCTAACATGTAAAGACTTTACCGAGTGTACATCTGAATCAGACTTGCTTTCTTCGATTTAAGATTATGAGGCGTTTCAGAACCTGTGGCTGTACTTTACCTGCTTCATTTCCCCCATAACTTTGCAAGGAATCTATGACAGAATAGAACTGGATCTCTTCGAGCTCCTCAATTGGACGTGGATCTAAGTAACAGAATGGATCCGCGAACCTATTTGTCTCAATGCACACTAAATAAGAGGTCTGTGTTTCTCTGATCTCTACAAATTTTGATGCATTCAAAAATTACTTGGATTATTATGGAGTCATCACCAATCCCAAGACAATTGTCACAGACCGGATGCCTCAGGATCGTGAACGGCGCAAGGATGGTCAATGACAGTTTGCAATTTTCCGCCCTTGGGGTTTCCTTTTTAGGATGGACCGTTTCGGGTCTTTCACCGACCGTGATTGATGGCAACACCGGCGACATATGTATGTATCTTGATTTTATTAACAATACCAAGGGCCTTGAGCGCCTGTACTTCTATAGAATCCCACAGTAGTAAATGGGACATGCTATTATATTGTTGAATGAGGTCTAGAAGTATTTCTATAGAAGTCCGCTGTAGTTAATGGAACATGGGGGGGATATGCTCGATTATACTGTTGAATGACGTCTAGAAGCTTCGTGATAGCATCTGGTGAAGCTCGCTCGGCTGTAATTGCATCTGCATCAGAAGGTGGCGGCGCTGGCACCTCATTCGACTCGGAGATCACCTTGGACTTCTTCTGTGTCCGTGCGTCGGGCTTCGCGTATTTACCGCTTGCTTGTCTGCCACTGTGCGCATCGGGGTGTTTCTGTTTCCGAGCACCCTTGGCCACCACTCCCATGACTTCTGCCGTTTCGCTCCATGTCCCACGGTTGGGAGCGATCTGCTTTCCTTGAGGAGGCAAGATCTCCGCTCCGTTGGTGATATCTGAGAGAGCATCACTCAGCCGCTCGAGATGCTGGTAGAGATCCCGTGGGAGAGTCGACTTTTGGCGACGTAACACGTCGATCTTCGATGAAAGACGTTGCAGAAGGGCAGCGTCCCGGGCAGCGTCCTGGACATCTGAAGAGTCGTGTGGCTTGTCTGAGCCAGAGGCAGTAAGCGTCGGCGTCAGATGAGTGGACCGTGAGGTTTCGATATCACTGTCCCAAGGTTGGGAGGCAACCGGTAGCGTTCGAGGAACCACGACGTCGGGAAATTTAAGCTCGACAGCACAGATGTGCTTGCAGAAGGATATCAGAGGGAACGAGGGACAGGTGCAAGTGTAGCGTTCCAGGTTCACTGTGTATGATTTGTCGGGCGTGGATTGTGAGTGGACAAGGAAAGTAGTGTCCAATTCGACCTCCAAGATTTGGTCGTCCTTGATCTGCACGGCCATTATGTGAATGTTGTTCCTTGCGCGAAGAGCAAGATCCGGCCCTTCAAATCCGAATTGTTGAGCGCGATGGCGCGCTATGAAGTGCGGCAGTGCCACATTCAGCAGGATGTGGATGAGTGCATCTGCACGTCGGTTTCGCTTGCCGCCCATGTGAAATGATTTCAAGAGATGGTGCCACGCTTCCACAAGCATATTCGTGTTGCTGATCTCGAAAATGGAACGATCTTGACGATAGACGGCTGACCACATGCAAAGGGTCTTCTCATCGAGATAATTACTCTCCAGATAAAGTACAACGCTCACCGGTGCTATCGTCTTGATTTCCTCCCAGCAGTCCCAGAATTTCGTTTTGTCCGTGATGCGAATCCAGCCCTTCAGTTTTTTCCACAGCTCCTCGTAGGCGTGAATATTGAAATGCTGCTGCCAAGCATGGAGGACATGCCACCAGCAGAGCAGGATCAGCGTTTCCGGGTAAAGCTCGGCAAGCGTTCTTAGCTGAGCAGTGTCCATATCTGACATGAAGCGACGCGGTATGACGTCCGGGTTTTGCTTCCGGAGATGCACGAGAAAGTAGCGGATAGTGTCCGCTTTGCCATTTGACGAGAGCATCCATGCAACCGGGAAGCCATGGCCGTGTCGATCACGGACAACGATAGTGAAAAGAAGCGCACCGTAGTAGACTGTTGTGTTGTGTGTAGCATCTATTCCAGCATAGTCATGGCCCCATACCCGGAAGCATTTCTTCTGGTATGGAGTTTGGATTCCGAGAACAAATGTATCGGCGTCGAGACAAGAATCAGGTGGTGAAGGATCACAGCTTGCTTTGAAAAATAAGAGAGCATCAATTGTCTTCAGATGCTCGACCCATTCGAGGATAGAGAGACCGTCATGTTGGTTGAGGCGGATACTTTCTGCTTCGATTTTCTTCTCAATGCGTCAAATGTCTCGACGGCGAATGAACTCCTCCCGACGTGGCTCCAGAGCAGACAAGATCTCTAGATTAGATTCAGAGTGGACATCACCACGAACCCGTGACAACTGTCAAACATGTCAATCAGATGATGTCAAAGCGCGCGATTCACGAAAGACGTACAACAAGGTGTGGCTGCATCCCATCTCGCAGCAGATGCTCGATGAGTACGCGTGCCTCGTCAGGTATACGCGTGTAGATGAGGTTTCTTGGGCCCGTAGGGTGTGAATGGTCAGCTTCATAATGCCCAAGGATGATTGTTGTGTGAGGATATTGTTTTGCAACCAACCGACACGGGCAGTACAAGCGCTTGGTTTCGATTCTTCGTTGTCGGTCTGGGAATTTCTTGTCATATATTTTCTTACCCCCTGTCGGCATTCTGCCGCAAGTGTACACCCTCTTCTGCACCTAAGGAACATCCGCCGCGGAGGGTACCCCCCCCTGTTAGGGGTCAAAATTCGACTGATTTGGGTACCTAACAGGGGGGGTACCCTCTGCACTTTTGGCCATCCTCCGCACCAAAACCTCCGCAAATGGGTGCCAAGCATCCGCAACAAGCCCTGTAACCAGCTGCGGATCCATCCGCTCCTGGCTCTCCCCGTGATCGTTGTGATGCCATCATACAGGCCATCCACGGACCATGTCATGTGACTGTTCTCCAGTGCGGAACCCTCCGCATTTCTTGCTCTTTTATTTTTTCAGTTCTAGCCTGTATATATTGCTTCACTGTGGACTTGAGCCTTCTGTAGCCAATGTATGCAAGTGCTTTTGACTCCCAAATGATTATAGCTGCTTCAAAGACCTCTATGTGCAGCAAACAAAGAGTGTTAGTTAGGCCAATTCAGTGCTTGGGCTGTGCGGATGCTCTGCATTGTTTCTGGATTGCTAAATGGGTTGCTCAGAACCTTAATGCGTAGGATAAACATAGAACGCAAGCTTCTCAGATGCTGCCAGGTTCCTTAGAACCCAGGTAGGCCTCTCCAGCACCCACAGCAGCTGAAACGTGCGCCATGCGGATGCATCCGCCACCTGCTGTCCAGGGCCAGATTGGGGCAGGCCCTGTTCAGTACAGGCTCTGCAGACAATTCCACTTGCACACCTTCACCTGCCATGATCAGTGCATGCAGCCAGGATCCTCCTGCATTGACAACATGCTGTGCAGATGCATCCGCCCCTTGCGGTCCAGAGCCAGATTTCAGCATAGGCTCTGTGGATGGTTCAACTTGCACACCATTAGCTGCCAGGCTCCTTAGAACCCAGAGAGCCCTTGCCAGCACCCACAGCAGCTTAAAAGTGTGCCATGCAGATGCATCCGCCACCTGCTGTCCAGGGCCAGATTGGGGCAGGCTCTGCTTGGCACACGCTCTGTGGACAGTTAAAATTACAGACAATCACCTGCTATGATGGGTGCATGCAGCCAGGCTCCTCTCACATTGACAGCAGCTTGAGAGCATGCTGTGCAGATGCATCCGCCCCCTGCGGTCCAGAGCCAGATTTCAGCACAGGCCCTGCAGACTCTTTGGCCTGGGGTCGCCCTCTGCATCAGAGCTCTGCAGATGCAGCCCAATCATCTGCAGCAGGCTCTAAAAACATCTGCTGATCCATCCGCATCTCATTTTACTGGTGATGCCCTTGATGGCATCATTTTGGTGCATTGCAGATGGTCCTTGAACATCCGCACAGGGATTTGATGGGTCCTGCGGATCCATCTGCACTCAAAATAATCTTTGCAGGCCCTGCTTCTTCTACGTGAATGGCCTGAAGAGCCTCTGAAACATTGTTCATCTGGTGCACAAATGGATCTGCACATTGGAATGGGGGCTGTGGCTCTGTCCCACAAGCCAATCTTATGCAGCATATATCTACTGACATTTTAGCCAGTGCACCGAGCTCCAGAGGCTCTGGGGACATCCAGAGCACACAAGGAAATGAACTGCTGATGCATCTTCAGCCAAATTGGCCAGCTAAATATGTGGCTGCTGCCCAGACAGCCCAAATACATTACATCACTTGAATGAATAATGCTATTGACCAATACAATTCATTACACAATTTCTGGAAGGGATATTGCATGGAATTTGATATGTAAGCAAGCCAAACAGTGATTCTCCTATCTGCGGATGCTATTTCAACCATCCGCAGAAGCATCTGCAGCAGCTAGTGACATGGTTGCGGATGTGTCACATGACCCTCCGCAGTCTCTTTGTGGGACATATCTGCTCAATATAGCCTCAATGGATGTCCTCTGTCTCTGCAGCATGTATCTAAGATGTCTTTTTTGCTACCTGCATAGTTCTATCAACAATAGGAAATTTATCTGTCCTGCACAGGATTTTGAATTCTTTGCACCATAATTGTTGCTCATATACAGGTCGGATAAGCTCAGCTGTCCCACTAGGGAATCGAACTTGTCAGAGACAAGCTATAAGCCAGCAGACACTGAACCTGGAAAGAACCTATCTGTACAATATAAAAAAAGTGAATTGAACATGATTCATATTTCAAGCTTTACACATTCATACATGTCTTGCAATTCAAGGGCCAAGACTTTAAGACACAGCATTCAATGTTTTGAGCTCAAAAAAGTCTCTTAGATCAAAAATATTTTCGATTTTGGTCAATGAGCAGGTTGAGCTCAGTACTACCATAGGAAACTGTGTTCAGGTCATGGCACTTTTCTGCATGACAAAAATATTTTCCTCAGTGAGCTGAATCAAGTTTATATTCGAGATGGGGCATATCTAAATAGCATCTGAACAAATTCTGAGCAGGATCGCAGCATCACAGCTTTCTTCAGTGCAAGTTTGAATGATCCGCAGATGCATCCGCAAGATCAACATTTCAAAATTGTGTCCCTGTGAAGGCTGTGATGCTGCGATCCTGCTCAGAATTTGTTCAGATGCTATTTAGATATGCCCCATCTCGAATATAAACTCGATTCAGCTCACTGAGGAAAATATTTTTGTCATGCAGAAAAGTGCCATGACCTGAACACAGTTTCCTATGGTAGTACTGAGCTCAACCTGCTCATTGACCAAAATCGAAAATATTTTTGATCTAAGAGACTTTTTTGAGCTCAAAACATTGAATGCTGTGTCTTAAAGTCTTGGCCCTTGAATTGCAAGACATGTATGAATGTGTAAAGCTTGAAATATGAATCATGTTCAATTCACTTTTTTTATATTGTACAGATAGGTTCTTTCCAGGTTCAGTGTCTGCTGGCTTATAGCTTGTCTCTGACAAGTTCGATTCCCTAGTGGGACAGCTGAGCTTATCCGACCTGTATATGAGCAACAATTATGGTGCAAAGAATTCAAAATCCTGTGCAGGACAGATAAATTTCCTATTGTTGATAGAACTATGCAGGTAGCAAAAAAGACATCTTAGATACATGCTGCAGAGACAGAGGACATCCATTGAGGCTATATTGAGCAGATATGTCCCACAAAGAGACTGCGGAGGGTCATGTGACACATCCGCAACCATGTCACTAGCTGCTGCAGATGCTTCTGCGGATGGTTGAAATAGCATCCGCAGATAGGAGAATCACTGTTTGGCTTGCTTACATATCAAATTCCATGCAATATCCCTTCCAGAAATTGTGTAATGAATTGTATTGGTCAATAGCATTATTCATTCAAGTGATGTAATGTATTTGGGCTGTCTGGGCAGCAGCCACATATTTAGCTGGCCAATTTGGCTGAAGATGCATCAGCAGTTCATTTCCTTGTGTGCTCTGGATGTCCCCAGAGCCTCTGGAGCTCGGTGCACTGGCTAAAATGTCAGTAGATATATGCTGCATAAGATTGGCTTGTGGGACAGAGCCACAGCCCCCATTCCAATGTGCAGATCCATTTGTGCACCAGATGAACAATGTTTCAGAGGCTCTTCAGGCCATTCACGTAGAAGAAGCAGGGCCTGCAAAGATTATTTTGAGTGCAGATGGATCCGCAGGACCCATCAAATCCCTGTGCGGATGTTCAAGGACCATCTGCAATGCACCAAAATGATGCCATCAAGGGCATCACCAGTAAAATGAGATGCGGATGGATCAGCAGATGTTTTTAGAGCCTGCTGCAGATGATTGGGCTGCATCTGCAGAGCTCTGATGCAGAGGGCGACCCCAGGCCAAAGAGTCTGCAGGGCCTGTGCTGAAATCTGGCTCTGGACCGCAGGGGGCGGATGCATCTGCACAGCACATATTCAAGCTGTGGTTGATGCAGGAGGATACTGGCTGCATGCACCGACTATAGCAGCTAACAGTGTGCAATTTTAACTGTCTACAAAGCCTGTGCCAAGCAGAGCCTGTCCCAATCTGGCCCTGGACCGCAGGGGGCGGATGCATCTGCACAGCATGCTCTCAAGCTGCTGTCAATGTGAGAGGAGCCTGGCTGCATGCACCCATCATAGCAGGTGATTGTCTGTAATTTTAACTGTCCACAGAGCGTGTGCCAAGCAGAGCCTGCCCCAATCTGGCCCTGGACAGCAGGTGGCGGATGCATCTGCATGGCACACTTTTAAGCTGCTGTGGGTGCTGGCAAGGGCTCTCTGGGTTCTAAGGAGCCTGGCAGCTAATGGTGTGCAAGTTGAACCATCCACAGAGCCTATGCTGAAATCTGGCTCTGGACCGCAAGGGGCGGATGCATCTGCACAGCATGTTGTCAATGCAGGAGGATCCTGGCTGCATGCACTGATCATGGCAGGTGAAGGTGTGCAAGTGGAATTGTCTGCAGAGCCTGTACTGAACAGGGCCTGCCCCAATCTGGCCCTGGACAGCAGGTGGCGGATGCATCCGCATGGCGCACGTTTCAGCTGCTGTGGGTGCTGGAGAGGCCTACCTGGGTTCTAAGGAACCTGGCAGCATCTGAGAAGCTTGCGTTCTATGTTTATCCTACGCATTAAGGTTCTGAGCAACCCATTTAGCAATCCAGAAACAATGCAGAGCATCCGCACAGCCCAAGCACTGAATTGGCCTAACTAACACTCTTTGTTTGCTGCACATAGAGGTCTTTGAAGCAGCTATAATCATTTGGGAGTCAAAAGCACTTGCATACATTGGCTACAGAAGGCTCAAGTCCACAGTGAAGCAATATATACAGGCTAGAACTGAAAAAATAAAAGAGCAAGAAATGCGGAGGGTTCCGCACTGGAGAACAGTCACATGACATGGTCCGTGGATGGCCTGTATGATGGCATCACAACGATCACGGGGAGAGCCAGGAGCGGATGGATCCGCAGCTGGTTACAGGGCTTGTTGCGGATGCTTGGCACCCATTTGCGGAGGTTTTGGTGCGGAGGATGGCCAAAAGTGCAGAGGGTACCCCCCCTGTTAGGTACCCAAATCAGTCGAATTTTGACCCCTAACAGGGGGGGGTACCCTCCGCGGCGGATGTTCCTTAGGTGCTCTTCTGAATCCACTTGTGATTCCGCTTGTTCTTGTTCCGGACAACTTCTTTGAGGGGAAGATCGACGCAGAGTTTCCGCTCCTCTGCTTCGATCCATTCCTCCAGTTCAGCTACCGTGCCCCAGCACAATGTGTATTGCCCCGATGCAACATCAGCTTCATATGAGCCATACTTCACTGTTGGATTGCCCGTCTGGAACTTGAAGATCTCCACGGAACGCCCATTGGATGATGCATGAGTTGCGTCATGGGGATTTTGAGAGCTGAGGGCGGCTGAGGGTGCAGGCGTCACAAGAGAGGGCGGATCAAATGCACTGAATACAAATTGAGACATCGGGGAACTGGTTCAGGTTGCGGAGAGGGATGAGAGGAGGAGAGGAAGAGCAGAAATAAAGACAATGAGATCTAGTACACATTATCGAGCGTGTATTGTTCATTAAATCCAACAAATTCACTCGATTTCACTCCGTCAAAGCTCCCCGGATCACCGGGATCACGTGCAGAAGACCCGACCCAAAACGGAAACCCCAAGGGCGGAAAGTCAAAAACTGTCAATGACCGTAGCTGATCACAAATCACGATGACCGTGTGCCATCACACCTGCCATTTCGAACGAAGAGGTGGCGCGGCCATTTTTCGTGTTCGACACGATCTCCACCTCTTAGAACACCGAATTTCGGGTTCACCTCGTGATGTCAGACCCTGTTGCTGAGCCTTTACCTGTTGAGGAGTCCGTTGTCGAGGACTCGCCTGGTCAAGCTGAACACGAGGCCTCTGATCTGACGTTGAGTGATCTCACAACAAACGCGCCAGCAGAGGGTGCCGCTGGAGACGAGGACACCGAGGATGGGCATGGCGCAGATGCGGAGAGTGTCGCGACTGGAGTAGAAGATGCGGCTGCGGCTGTAACAGCCAAACCTGTCCCTGCTGTGAAAGCGGCCGCAAAGACGTCGACGAATGGGACTGCCTCGGGTGTTAAGAAGGTGAGTGTGTTTGTTCATTTCCCAAGCGCCTCCCTTCACCTTGCTCCAGATATTGACTTCGGGCACCTTCGGTGCCAGCAAATCAGTGTCTTCCAAACCTTCTACCAGCTCCGCCCCTGCGAAGGCCCCGGCTGCTGCGCCCTTGAAGAAATCCATTAGTGGTCCCACAACGACCAAGCCGACAATGACGGCGTCGAGGCCCGCTCCATCTGGAACCGCTGCTGCTGTGCGAAAGCTCACCGTTTCTGCCACGAAACTGACCGGGCCTTCCATTAAACCGTCCGTGTCTGCCTCGAAGCCTACGACCGCGTCATCAGGTGCCACAGCGCGAGGGTCTGTGACATCCCCAGTCGGTAGCTCGGGTGCCAATACCAAAGACGCTCCTGCCCGACCGCGTGCCTCAGTGTCCGAAGGGGTGAAGAGAGCACCTATCGCTCCTCGAGCGAGTCTTGCTGCCGTGACAAAACCACCGTCGAAACTCGCCTCCTCAACTGCTTCGAAGCCCACAGCGACCAAGGCGCCGCCATCTGCTTCTGCGGCACCTGCAAAGACGCGCACGACTGCTTCCATCGCGTCAATAAAGGAAGTGCACGAGGATACCAAGGCCCTCGAAGAATTGCAGACGAAAGTATGTTTCACAGCCACGTCTTCTTCTCGCTCTAACAAGGACTAGCTCAGTGAAGCAACTGATGAGCTCGCAGTCAAAAGCCAGGCTGCCGCGGAGCTGGAAGCTCAGGTCGAGGATCTCAAAGCGTCACTGGCGACCGCGCTGGCCGACATCGAGGCCAAGGGCTCGAGTGCGCCTGAAGTGACAGAAGCTCAATTGGCTTCTGAAATGCAGCTTAAGAGCACGACGGAAGCTCTCGAAAAGCTGCGGGCGGAACATGAGCAAAGCACGTCCTCTTTGCAAGCTATTCAAGAAGAGGTATGTCGAATCTTGGTATCCCAATACCTGCTTGACCTGACTCTCAATTCGACAGCTCAACGCCGCAAGGGAGGCCACCACTGTACAGACACAGTTGGTCGAAACACTCCAACTTCAGATCGAAACTTTGTCAGCTGAGGTTGCGAAGGCCACCGAAAGTTACGCTGCTCTGCAAGCGTCACAGGCCAGCGTGTCCTCCGACGCGTCGGCTGCGGCCTCCATCGAGCACGACGCATTGTTGAAGGCCCAGTCGGACTTTGGAGCTATCCAGGTCGAGATTGAAGCACTGAAGGACGCGCACAAACAGAGTCTGGAGGACCTCGAAGGCAAACTCTCCACCGCTGTCGAAGACAAGGCTTCTGCCGTGGCAACTCTGGAGGAAACGCTCGCCGATCTGACCTCTCAGAAGGAGGAGGCAATAGCTAAGCTATCTGAATTCGAGGTCGAAAACCTTGAGCTCAAAGAGAGTCAAGAGAGCGCAGAGGACGAGCGAACCAAGACTGCAGAACACATCTCCACTCTTGAGCGAGAGCTTTCCGAAGCTGTCGCAGCAACTCAGGCGGCGATTGACAAAGCTGCCGCGGAGCAAACTGAGCATGCTGCTCAAGCTGGTGCAACCCAGGCATCACATGAACAGGCGATCAAAGAGATTGCGGACGCTCATGCGCAAACAACGACTCAATTAGACGCTTTGAAAGCCGAGCTTGACGGTGCCCGAGCCGACCATGAGACGGCTGTTTCTGAGCACGCCCGGCTGCTTGCAGAGAGTGAAGCCGCCTCTGCAAAGAAGGAGGCGGATCTCGCCGAACAGATCAAAGTTATCTCGGCCGATCTTGAGGTACAAGTCTTCGTCGGCTTTGTGTCCTCGGTGTGCTGATCTAGAGACAGAGCCAAGAGTCCCAGTACAATGCGAAAGTGGATGTCGTGAAAAAAGAACATGAGCAGCTGCTTCAAGAGGCATTCGAGCGCGCCAAGGTCAGTTGTGTTCGTTGTCATCGGATGAGATCTGAACGGACCTCTGTAGGCCGAAGCAAGCAGCCTTCATCAACAAGATCTCCAGTCTCTGCGGTCTGAATCTGGCAGCACGATGGACCAAGTGCGAGCCATCCATGAGTCTACCATCGAGCAACTCAAAGCCGAGCACGCTTCCGTCATCGAGTCCACTGTTGGCGACCTCGAGAAACAGTTGGCGAAGCTGAATATCGAGCTGAAGGCCACCCAGGACGATCTTGTCAAGGCTAAGGCGAATCTAGACGGAGCCCGGGCCGAAATTTTGACTATGACCGCTCAACGGGATGAGGCCCGCACGACCTTGGAGGCGACACCGGAGCTATCTCCGCAACATGCGGAGGAGATAACTCGGCTGCGGCATGAAGTGGTTGCCAAGTCCGATGACTTGCAGGCTGTCGAAGAAATGTTGGCGATCACCAAGGCTTCGATTCAATCCATCTCACAGAACCACACCGTTGAGCTCGAAGAAGCGGCGAAAGCCAGAGCTGAGGAGGCGACCAAGCTGCAGGCTGCTCACGACGAGGAGGTGAAAGCCTGGAACACGCAAAAATCGGAGCTGACGTCCCGCCTTTCGGACCTCGAGGGGGAGCTTGCCACTCTCAAGGCAACGATGAATGCGGAAACAGCCGCTCCGAAGAGCAATGGAGCTGTCGCAGTTCCGCAATCACCCGGGATCACCAAAGAAGAGCTGCAACATCTGCACGAAGCTCACAACTTGAAGATGAATGATCTCCAAGCCCAGCACGAGAAAGAACTGAAGGCGTTACGGGATCAGCTAGAGAAGGCTGCTGCCGACCTGGACGAGTCGATTGCTTCGGTTGCCCGCAAAGCCATGGAGATTCAGGCAGGTGCTATGCGACACTGGTTTCATACACTGTTGACCCTGGCTGCAGTATCTCGAGTCCGATCAAGACGAACAGACCGACCGGATCACTCAGTGTGTCTTCCGCATGCTCATTGCTTTCTTCCTACTGATATCTTATTATCCAGGCTACAAGAAGACTTGGAAGCCGCTCAACTCAAGATCAAGACTCTGGAAAGTCCCGCCGCATAGGTGAGGACGCTAGCTGGACGGGTTGGTTGTTTGCTATGTATATCAGGATTTCTCGTTGTCCCCCTTACCTTACTACATCTTTTATACCCTCGACTGAAATCATATGCATTCTTCCGGAAAAGTGTATTCTCCCGGACAGCCTTCGGACACCCGCATGTTGTTTTCGAGAAATTTCGCCGAGGTTCGCCAAGAGAATGCACTTACCTCTGAGCTTCTTCGTTGATAGAGATTTGGCGATAGAAATTCTCTGGCAGTGGCATGCTGCAGGCTGGAGATTGTGGCTTCCGTGTTCCCACAGTTGTCGTATACAAATGGGGATAGCCACGACCGGTTACCCCAAAATATAAAAGCGACAGCAATCGTGCGAGACCAATCCTTTCCACCCCTCCACCTCTGCTGCTCGAACAACATGGCCATCCAACGGGAACCGGGCCAGAAAGGCGTCAACTGGTCTAACATTGCTGTCGGTAAGAGACGCGCGCTATACTATTCCCCATTGGTGTTCATGTGCGCCTCAGGCGCGATCATGAACATGGTATGGAATGGCATGGACTCGACGCGTTGAACCGTGCACTAATACTCTCAATTTCTTCCATCTCCTGCTTAGTTCGTGAGTTGAACCGTATTGCTCCGGCTCCGCGACCCATCACTGACGATTTGCAGGAGGTATGGCTGTTGTGAGACGTATATTCACCGGCTTATCCTATGCCAGGTCACAACATTAGGTCAACCTCTGGAGGTGCTCAAGACCCAAATGGCAGCCAACCGGTCTCAACCCATGATGCAAGGCATCAGGGCCGTCTGGGCTCGCGGAGGTGTAGCGGGATTCTACCAGGGTTTGATCCCATGGGTTCGTCGGCCCCTTGCCTCTTGATATGGCGCGCGCTCATATCTGTATAGGCATGGATTGAAGCATCGACGAAGGGTGCCGTTTTGATTTTCGCTGCCTCGGAGGTGGAGACCGCGACCCTGGGCTGGGGCGTCAATCCCGCCACGGCTGGGTTGTTGGGCGGTATGACCGGTGGTGTTGCGCAGGCATATGCTACCATGGGTGCGTTAAACAGTCCCAACGCCACACCGGGCCTTAGTCTCACGTCTTGCAGGTTTCACGACTTGCATGAAGACCGCTGAGATCACGCGCCAAAAGACCGCCGCTTCTGGCGTCAAGCCCCCTTCGACGATGTCGTTGTTCATGGATATGTATCGGAAAGAGGGTCTTGCTGGTGTTAACAAGGGTGTCAATGCTGTCGCCGTGCGGCAGTGCACGAACTGGGGTTCCCGGTCAGCCATCTACCCCCAGACTATTTATCTGCACTGACGAGGCGTGCAGAATGGGTTTCGCCCGTCTAGCAGAGACTGGAATCCGCAAGGCTCGGGGCAAATCCGAAAGCGAATCATTGGGTGCCTTTGATAAGATTCTTGCGTCGACCATCGGAGGTTCATTAGCGACGTGGAACCAGCCGATTGAGGTGGTTCGCATCGAGGTACGTGGGTTCACATCTCGGTTGGAAGCGTTGCTCAGTCGAGATAACTCAGATGCAATCTATGGTCAAAGACGCCGCGGCCAACACGAACCGTCCCGCAAAATTGACGGTACTGAACACCCTCGGTTACATCTACAAGGAGAACGGTCTCAAGGGTCTCTACCGCGGCGTGACCCCTCGAATTGCTCTCGGCGCGTGGCAGACGATTTGCATGGTGTCCCTCACAGATTATGTGAAAGACTGGTACGCAAATGACGATAGACATCGTCCCGATCTTTGCTAACAGATTCCAGGGTGAAGGGGTAGTGTCCTGACGGCCGGTTATTATATATATATCGTATTTCTCTTTAGTTTCCTCGCAGATTGGATGCTACTAGATGTACTAGATCACGTACTGGAGAAGCTGAATGTCGACCGGCCCGAAAGAGCCCGAGACGCACACGGATCAATATTGATCATCAAATGCAATGTCGCCACGATGAAATCACCCATCTGCATGCTCAAAGCACCCTCACAACATCGGCCACTCTACTGCCCGGTGTCATCTTTACTACCATGAGCATACCTGCAAAGACTCACCCTCTCCTGGCCAAGTACCTTCAGTCCCTTGCGACCCATCCTCTCCGGACCAAGGCCCTCACAACCGGAACATTATGTTTCCTCCAAGAAGTAAGTGCTTGTCGCCCTACAAGCATCGTCGATATGTACCAACGACCGCTATCCAGATTCTTGGTAGCAACATTGCTGGACTGCCCGTTAACAAGCCGGCCCCGTACGTCAAGTTACGTATCAATGAGCACTTTCACTCAACTCGAGCTCCGTCTTTGCAGGAGCGCGCCCGTGCTGGTTCAGCTGCTAGCACGGTCGCATATCGACATCCGAGCGGTGAAGATGGCGCTATATGGTACGACACACGTCTAGCTTCGTCGACTGAACTACATCCGCGCCCTCCAGGCTTCCTTGTTTCTGCCCCCATCAGCCACTACCTCGTCGGCGCACTGCAGAAAGCGTTTGCTGGCAAGACGAGCCCCGCTGCTAAAATCGGACAAATTGTCGCGAACAACCTCCTCGTCGCGCCCATCCAGACGAGCGCCTACCTGGGATCCATGGCTATCATCAGCGGGGCAAAGAGCATGGATGAGGTGGTCAAGACCGTCCGGGCGGGTTTCCTGCAGGTCATCAGAATGCAGTGGATCGTGAGTGAACGCGGTCCATTCTGCCCGTCGCGCTAATGAGCATATAGGTCAGCCCTGTGGCGTTGGTATTCGCCCAACGATTTGTTCCTGTGGAGCTGTGGGTTCCATTCTTCAATGCTCTTCAGTTCGTGTTGGGAGTAAGTCGACTTTCTCCGTTGGTCACACTGAATTTAACTGTGATCGAGACATACTTCAATGCCCGGGTCAAAACTCTGCGCCTGGCTGCAGAGAGGAGGAAGGCAAAGGAGGAAAAGAAGGAGTAATGTTTATTTCTGTAATCAACTGGCGCGAAGATCCGAGACTACGAGAGATCCTAATTGTGGCGTTTGTTGATATCTAAGGCGGACCACTTCATTGTCAACCTCCACGACCTCTGTGTCAAGCTCCCAGCCGTCAAGCGAGTATGATCCGGGGCGGTCGATCCACATTCGCGGAGTCAATGTCGTCGCTTCGAGAGGTCCCAATGTGCCTCGGAAGGTCACACGCCCGGAATAGTCTGGCACAGGATTCTCTCTAGTTGTCTCTTCAGCGGGCCGTTCGAAGCAAAGGGAAGAGGGAAGAACTAACGCAGAGCGTTCTTTCTTAAGTCGCAGAACAAACCGCGAATGGTTAAATGGCGAGTAGTTTCTGACAGTGAGATCTATCGGCACTTGCGATAGTCTAGCAGAATGTCAGCTGGACCCCGATAATCAATGCGCCACAATTATTACCCTTTTGAGAAATCATGCGAGAGAAGGCGCTGGCCGATAGACAGGATGTGTGGGTTCATCTCTGAGTTCCACTCGCTGCGCTCGATTGCTTGCACGACCTCCGTCCTCTCGCGCTGTGTTTCAGCATACATGCTGCGCGTGACTTTTGTGTTCTCGGCCTCTTGCAGGATTTCGCGCAGGGGAGCATGGCCGGCACCGAGTGTGACGCCGGGAACAAACACGTGACCCGAACGCTCTTGAGCAGGGATTTCCCAGTGCACGATAACGTCGACGCAGTGGGGATTGTAAAGCGGGAAAACATCTGGGAATGATCTGGAAGGGATATGTGGAAGGTTGGCTGCTATCTGCCGTAGCGTGTGATTGCGGCGACTGCACTCGTGGAAATATCTCTGAGCCGGCAGAGGAGGGCTTGTCTGGGAGAAAGTCGGCTCGGACTCGGCTGCGATGAGATGGCGCTTACGTAGAGGACATCAATCGGCGGAGCAGTTGATTGAGCCCTGGTGCCAAGCAGCACGTTGCGCAAGCCATTCTTGACGAATTCGAATGTTTCTGCGGATCCACTGCCGTCTTCCCACCGGTTGACACCAAAGTGGATTCGACATGACTGAGAAGGTGGAAGCCGATCACTGTGTCAGGGGTTAGACATAAAATAATCCTTTCACAGAATGTACTTGCAATGATGTCTCTTGCAGAGGATCGCATCTCCAGCCGGGACTAGGCGTCATCACCTGCGTGACTTGGATCGGACGCGTGCAGACATTGCTCAGCTGTACGTCCATCGAGAACAGATGTTGGGGGTTGCGGCATGGGATAGAAGTGACGCTGACGTCCAGGATAGGCTGCACATCGAAACGCCGGACCAGACCGGCCGAATGGAAAGATAGGCCGGCGTCCTGTCGAGCTTGAGCTTGTGGAACTCTGGAACAGCATTGGATGCTCACCTCCCGGAAAACGAACAGCAGCGACAGCTCTTGCTCGCCCGAACGGTTGGCATGGAGCAGCAGGTCGACTTCGACACGATCACCGGGCTGCAATCCTGACTGTCCGATAGCAATGGCCTGCGGTTCCGGAAGAGCAACCGAGTTGTCTGACCGCGCGACGTTGCTGATCTCTGTGACATGTTAGCATGCGACACTGAAATACGCGTAAGCTGACTCACCTCCGCTAGAGCCTGATTCGAGCCAGATGGCATCCTCTTCCCCGACGAGAAGCCACATTTGTCCGATAGGTTTGCTGCCGCAATTTTCCAGCAACACCCGCAAAGGTCGGGTTTCTCCGTGATACAAATTTAGCTGCAGATCGTCCACAAAACTGGCTCGTAATTGGTGGGCAGCCTCGACAACATCAACCTTGAGTAGTACGTCGGGTGCGTAGGTCGGGTACTGTCGCTGAGCCGGGGTGTTCTGCAATCTCGCTCCTCGCATAGCTAGCGGCTCTCGGACCGGCAGCAGAGACAGGAAGGTATATGCCACATCTGTGATCGTTACAGTCGTAGCTCGTAAAGCCTTGACGGAGATGGCGACCTTCGGTCCACGGGTTCAGTCTAACATCGGCTCGCAAAACAAAGACTCACAGTGCGTGATTCTTTGGGCGCAAGTACGATGTCATCCGATGTCTCGATTTCAAGACAGGCCTCAGTTGATCCCGAAGCCTCTTCTGCGAGAACCGTGAGACTGGACAAATTCACTTCTGTGTCCAACGGGTTGCGTAAGACGACCTCCACGTGGAATATTTCTGTCAAAGATAAGAATGGGGTAGAATCAGGATGTACTACCCACCATTGACACCGACTCTGCTCGGCTTTTCTAGTCGCTCACTTTGGCCGCCGCTCTTCCAAAATGCGTCCCAGCGATCCTCAAAGGGCTGCCAGTGATCAGATTCTGATGCAGTGTCACGGGCAAGCCGAAGCCGTGTGCGCTTCTTGACGCAAAGTGCGAATGGCATCGTGAGATCAAGAGCTTGGTGATTCGGGAATGTCGATTGAAAGTGCTTTCACGCCGTTAGCTTGTAAAATTTGCAACCGAAACAAGAAAACACACAGCAAACGCAACTCTGAAGTCATCGAGAAACATTTTGTCGGTGCCGGCGCCCTCTGCTTCGGACGTAATGCGAGGCAAGGAGTCCCGGAACAGACCCAAGAACAGTCCGACAGCACCAGCGACATCTCCTGTGGTATAGAGCAGCCGTCCCAGAGGATGCTCTATTCCAGGTAGAATAGCGTCGAAACCTGCTTCCTCTTCTGGAAAACGACCTTCCGAATCCCAGAATGAGGGAGAAAGTTCCTTTGGCGTTCGAAGTTGGTACAGCTGCTGAGCCTTGCGAAGAAAATACATGGTCAACGGTTTCTGAATTGGCTTTTCAGTCAATGTCAGAGGCGGCGGAGTCAGCACATACAATTCCGCACTTTTCCAGTCTGTTTGCCGCTGATAGATACCACAGAGCTGCGCGACGAGTAGCGGATCTCCGCGCACTGAGAAGTGCAGCATGTCCTAATAACAACGCTGAAGATGCTTCTTCTGACTGTGAAGATGATTCCAGAGGGAGCTAGACAGATGGGGAGACACCAACCTTGCCTGCAGCCCAAACCAGCCAGCGATCCCCTTCCAGGGCATCGGACAAGAACTCGGAGCTCGGGATGCCTGTTTCCCAGCGGACTGCGTAGATCAAGGCACGTATCTGGGCTTGCGCTGTCGGTTCTGGAGAGGACATGAGTGCCGTCAACGCATTGCCGGCATGTAATGGCAACGTTGGGGAGGGCGCCAGCAACATCGGTAGCATATCCTGATTCGCAAGTTTGGTTGAAGAACGGAATGAGTCTGACGATGGACTCACCGATCCGCCCTTGCTTTCCTTCCGCAAAGCCTCCCATACAGTGACGGCCAACTTCACATCACCCAGAATGGTCGCAAACTCAGCCAAACGACGATGCGTCGGTAGAGTCGTTGATGGAGTCATGCTGGGAAGAGGAGACGCCCCGTTCAATGGGCTCGACCGCGATATGGATCCAGAGGATGTGTGTGTTGGAGCTGGAGATGGGGAAGGAGAGCCAAAAAGCCGTCTGGTCGATGAAAAGAGACGCGACGGGAGCCGTCTATTGGAAGTGAACTGATGAAATTGATTGAATACGGTATATGGCAGTGAGAAATGTGACCTACAGTCTCACTCCACTCTACAACACATCTTTCCATCCATGGAATGAGACTCATGACAACAAATTCGCGTGTGAATCGAGCCGTTTGTTGGATGTCTCCTTCGCTCATGCGCAGAGTGTTGATGGGTGGTACAGTGGGCGATGGGGGGTCAGCGGGATCAGACCCAGCTTGTAGAGACTCCGAAGTAGGAGGCGGAGGTAAGCTCGGCATCAGAGCTGGGATAGGCACAGGTGATGGCCGAGGACTAGGCAAAGAGAGAGGGAGGATGTAGCTATGAAGCCCAAACTGTTTCTTCACAGCATTGAACAGTGCACCCGCCCTGCTTCAGCATAAACATAACTGCACAGAAAGCGATTTCAGGCTCACTCTTCCTCCGAGAAAGGCGAATTCTCCGGATGCACGATCAATGTGTATCGAATGTAGATTGGATCAACCCAAGCAGGTAGCTCGATGGCGCGCGCATGCAGAGCCGTTATAGCTTGGAGAGGGTTTGGTGCGGTGGTGGAAACAGCCAGGATGACTAGTGCGTCGCGTCAGTTTACTCCGATACGAGCTAAATGCGAGACACGCACTCGCAACGGGATGATTCCAGCCCTCTTGTTTTATGGGAACAGAGTCGCCTTCCGCACAACGCCTCAATTCATCCCACCAGGGTGTTTTGGAGGGTTCCTTCTCTAGCTTATCGATATCCTGAAGCCATTGAGAACACCGTTTACTGATACGAGCGCCAATCCAGTCCAAGGTTCGTTCTGCGCGCTGGTCCTCGTCCTCACGGGTTGCAGTTTCGATATCCTCCAAGTCCGAGAATCTCAAGTTGAACGATTTATGGGGAACGGATGTAAGAGAGGTCGTCCGTGTGGTTACTGTCCAACGTCAACAGAACACTAGACCGCATGCAGGACAAGAACCTTGAGGGAGCGGGGAAAAAGATTGGAGTATGTGATGGAGAGGCGGAAGCTCCGCAGATTTCAAGAGCTGGGAGAGGTCGTGCGATGGGAGAATGCATATCTGCGGACTCAGAGACGATGGGAGGGCGGGAGGCATTGCCGTGACTGATGGCGCGTTGTGAGATCCGCACCGGCCAACAATCCGTGGTGATATGCGGATCGTTCATGTTGCGATACTCTACTTGCAGGCCTTCTAACACACCAAGGAAGGGAATAGATTGAACGGGTAGCAGTCCAAAGAAGAAGATACATCGTGCTGATACAATGAGAAAAGAGTTCGTGTATTGTACACTGTAATGCTGTGGGAAGTATACGCTCTCCTAGAAATCGCCTCCACCCCCAAAATCGCCTCCACCGTCGCCACCATCTTGGACACATATGTGAGATGTTTGAACGAACGATAAATAAGAATGTATTCACCGAAACCACCCGACATCATGTCGCCCAGTAGCATTCCACCTGTGCCTGTTGAGCTTGTGATTGAACCCTAGTATTGCGCCACTCACCGGCCAATCCACCAAGCAACGGAAGTGCCATACCGCCTCCTCCCAATCCACCTCCCCCGAATCCAGCACGCCTAATGATGCATGTCAGGCTAAAAGAGAGGGCGACGCAGATCAGACGTACTGCTGTTGTTGAACGGGGTAAGGCCCGGGCATCCCACCCCATTGCGGCTGCTGCTGATATCTCAGCTGTTGTTGCTGATACATCTCAGCCTGTTGCCTCATTGCCTCTTGATGCTGCCGTTCACGAAGCTGAGAAATCATGATTCCTCAAGCGTCGCTAGAATATCCGGGACTGAACTCACCTGCATCAATTGGCGACGTTGCTCCTCCTTGTGTCGCTTCTCTTGTTCCCGTTCTTCTTTGGTTCCGACTGTGGCATCCTTTATCTTACCGAAGAAACCACGTTTCTCAGGTTTGGCTCCAGAGACCCGGTTAGTCGACGAAGATGCTGCGGATCCGGAGGCGGGTGGTGAACTGTACTCTGGTGGTGGTGGTGGAGAGTAAACATCGACTTTAGCTTTCTCTCGGGCATCGGGATGCTCTTTGAGATATTGCTCGTCGTCGAGTGGATGAGTCTAAGCAGATAAGAAGTCCGAGGCTGACGAGGGAAGGGCTGCCTTGATGACTTACCCAGATGGAGCGTGGTGGTGTTGCCTTTGTATCGACGTAGAACACATTTCCGTTGTGTTCCTGGCTGATCCAGCCGTAAGGAAGAGGTCTTGAATCCTTAGAAGACATCCAGATGATGGTAGAGAGAAAGAGTGGGCGTATGGGTGTGTGAAAGATAAGTATGACCTCAACAGCAATTCTTGGCGCGATCATGTGCTGTCTGAGGGCTGTGCAAGGTGGGAGAGCTGATTGGAGCTTGACCGTGACCGAGTGTGAGCGAAACCCATATATGCATCGCTCGAAACACTGCCTGGATGTCTAAACCGCCACACAAGACTGCAACTGAGCTAAAGCTACTCATGCACTATCTTTGGAGTGATCGGCTGAATCAGGTGGCCTGCCAATCTTTTGGTTGACCCCTGACAGCGCTTCAGGGTGTTCCCATCTACGCTGTTATATATACCAGGCGGACAGGAAAGTGGCGACGCCGCTTACCCGTCCCCAAAGCCTTTCGCTCTCCTCTACGCTCCCTTCCGCAAGGCATGAAAAATCACCTCAGCCATGTAGTCGACAAGGCCCGGAACGCTAGATTCGGTGGCAGAAGACGTCGAAACGAGGGCATGGACACGGCATCAAAGCTCCTTCTACTCATTCCGCCAGAACTGTGGCTCCAAGTCTTCTCTCACCTCTCGTCCTCTTCCGCCGATCTCAAGTCTGTCTCGCTCGTTTGTGATACCTTCCGAGTCCTTGCGCAGCCGCTCCTGTTTACACGGATTGCCATCTACCCGAACTTTTCGCATACAGCGCTTCCTCCACTGGCGCTGCGGTACACTGCCAACAAGTCCCGAAAGAAAGCAGCTCAGAGGCTCGACTTTTTCACCTCCCCGGGGGTGGCGCCGGCCGTCAGGGAATGTTTGATCTATCCCCCTGCCGCCGAAGAGGATGCGGAGACGTCTATCGGATCCCGGGACGATGTCCTCGACGCTGCCTTCGACAGTCTGCGCAAGTTTCCTAACTTGCGCACGTTAGAGTGTCGTACGGTTCGCTTGACCGTCGCGCGCTTAACCATCCTCCACGCCTTGCCACAACTGTCAGGCCTAAGCCTGGACTCATGTGTCACAGACGAGATGGTCGGACTGTCTCCCCTGGCGCTCTCCCAGGTCACGGTCCGGTCACCCGAGACATCTTGCACTGATTTCAGTATCATCCTGTCCCCTGCGCGCCTCCGCCGTCTAATTGCGTTGACGAATGACATCGCTCCCGCACTCAGTGACAGCGGGCGCTTCGGCAAACTCAAGTACCTTGAGCTGCCGGCCCTGGCGCTTACCTCACCTCAGATCGCAACTGCGTTGGCACAATGCCCTGCCGTCGAGCGCATGGTCATCCACGTTGGCGCTGATGGACAAGTCCCGCGAACGGGTGTCCCCACGGCGTTCCCGCCAACCCTGCTGCCAAATCTCAAATTCTACCGTGGGCCGCGGAACTTTGCATTGCTTTTCGCGAGCACTGGTCTGGTCGCGACGATTGAGATCAGTACTCCTGCCAAGGCACACCGGCTGACGCGGACGTTTCGCTCCCTGCGCGCATCTCCTCTGAGCGTCGCACGAGTCGAGTATCTGTCATTCCGTGTAGACGGGCCGATGCCTGCTACGTTCTTGCGTTCGGTCCATCGTGTGTTTCCGGCTCTGCGCAGCTTGAGTATCAATGATCCGGCTGTTTCGGCGACGGATCTGCTTGGTCTCCTGGCACACTCGTCTCCCAAGACAAGTATGCGGCTGTTCCGGATGCGTATCGAGGGGAAGGATCGATACAATCTTTGGGTTCCGCCGGTGGAAGAAGCTGAAGATGTGATAACTTGTTTTGGGCGGCTGAAGTCTGAGTTGGAGCGGGTGTATCCAGGGCTATCGGCCCTGCGGCTGATGTATGGGCTGGAAAATGGGTCTGTTTTATGGAAGAAACCATCTTCTGGCACGACACTCGAGCAATTGCCGGTGAGTTTTTCGAGTTTCAACTAGCGTTTCGAGGTTGACTTGTGCACAGATCCATTCAGAGGGCCGGCCGATACACGCTAAACGACATTCCAAGAACGAGCATGCTCTCTCTGACCACTTGAGATATGCCCTCTCGTGAAATACTGGAGCAGACGCCGTCATTGTATATGTACCCCGGAGGAATACCTATCGCATGTAATATCGCATACTTAGACTACATTTAGCATTGGATTGGAGAAATCGATATCATCTCATTTTGGAGGCTTGCTGACGACGCGTGCTAATCAAGTCATGGTACGCAAATCATGGACCAGTTGTGTGATCTCTCGGACTTGGTCGTGGGTCGAGAGCTGAGTCGATAACTGAGCGATATGTCTCCAGAGGTCCAACTTACTTCGAAACGAACCTTGAAAAAGGAATCCATTCGTTGTTTCCGAGCGTGATCGTGTATGGCCTGTTTACTTGCGACGTGTTCAACAAATTCAAAGGCCGATGTCAGTGACCGTGGACCCCGAATACCACTATGGAATTTGGAGGTGGAGGATCTCAGGTCATCAGACTCAGCGACCGCGGCGGCGCACCCCATCGGTCGTAATCCAGGTCCGCGCTTGGAGCCCACGTCTGATTCCAAGTCTCGGCGGCAGTCAGTAGGCTCGACTTCTCACGATGCGCCGCAGCCTGCTTGTAGCTCGCATCGAGAAAAGGGTGCAAACGCATTTCTTCTCCATGCCAGGCGGAATCGACACACTGTATCCGATACGGAACCATGTCGAGCATGGAGCGATGTGGAGGAAACTGATGTTCCTGCGCCAGCTGGACCGCGAATTGTTCTCTTGACAGTGCGAGACCTGCCTTCGGGAGCGTTTAAAGGCGCCCACGCGCCGAGTCTTACCGTGAAGGGTGCAGTGCAGGCAAATTGATTTCCCAATTGATTGTGGCGGCCATTCGGGTTGGCGGATCGAGCGGGTGTATTGGTGCGAGTTTTGCGCTGAGATCTCGCTTCCTTGAGCCGTACATGTTCCGGTTGATATTGGTGTTTCATGGCGACATTCAATTTCATCACAGATGCTGCTGGGTTTGAGTGCTGGCAGATAAGGCACCGGTACCCGCTACGGTCTTGGGTGAGATGTAGTTTCTCAAGCGATAAGATCAGAGCCTCTGGAGCAGACCATTCAACTTGCGACCGCAGTGGAGCCTGGCTTGTCTGTTTGGGTTCCGATGTGGCATTGACACGAAGAACGAAAGGGAGTGTGAGGAACAGACCTCAAAGCGATCAACAAATATGGCTACATGCACAGTACCGCCACTGATCAATGATCGGTGATCAAAACTAATCCTCGTCCGCGCCGATGAGCCATCCTATCCCTTTGGAGAGCACACGACTGGCCTGGGCTGAGATCTCGTCCGACTCCCCCCCTCGCCGGCTGCCACTACTAGACCTCTCTCCTTCATGGTTAGGGAATTGTGAACGGCCACGGCCGAATGGGAAATTTGCCGCCACCGTACGGAATGTTCTGCTAGCCAGGGCGGCTGCGTCGGGAGTGTTAAGCAGTGCCGGAGAAGGCATCTGGAAGTCTTGCAGACGCGACCTAAGTGAGACACCAGCATTGGTTGGCCGTTTGGTGATTTTGGTTTTGTTTCCAGGGCCGTTTGAGAGTTGCTCTTCTCGGACCTGGATCGACTCATTCTCCAGACGCCTCCAAGATCCCAGCACATCATGCAATTTGTCCGCCGGGCAGAGCTCAAGCGCAAGACCAAATAGGGTGAGTTTCTTGTCCAGCTCGTCGAATTCCGGATGCCTGGCAAGCTGGAAACATGTGACCCAGCAGACCTCGCTCGCCTCCTGGACCTCGGAACTGTGCAAGTTCGGATGGGCTTCCCGGAGCGAGAATACAGTGTTGACCATCCTCTGGCTGGTCTCGAATGCGCGTGAAAAGTCCTCGGCTTGCAGGGCAGTGTCCGTGAGCATGGCCAGCGTCTTGACTTCCGCAACAGCGTTGTCCCGGAAACCCAGCTTGTGGACCAGTTCTAGGACGACTTCGGTGTGTTTGTAAGCCTCGCTGTTGCTGGAAAGCACATGTGAAACCAAGGACAACCGATCTTTGGTCAATCGGATTTCGATAGGCGCTGATTTGACATTGAATGATGCAAGCCGGGAAGTAGCCTCGATGAATTCCTTCTCCCTCAGAAGTCGGTCTGATGGCGGAGGCACGTCCAGACTATTCTTTGATTACGACCGGAGCAGAAAATGAACAGATAGCGGCTCACCAGTCGTACGCCAGTTTCATATCTCCGAAAGTGTAGTTTCCGGAGCTCGAATTGTCATACAATTCGTGTGAACAGGCCAAACAGATGTCCTCCAAGACTTCATTGCCGAGCGTAAGCTTGTTTTTCGGCGAGTTAAGCAGGTTACGGGCAATGCTGAAATCTGGAACATGTCAGAAAAAGCGTCGAGAAAAGGATGACCTGCTTACTGCCTGTGCTCAGGAGCCCGCTGAGGAAGATCCGCAGGACTTCGTCTTGCGTCAACAGCCCAAATGCACCGTTTAAGCCATTATCGCCCTTGCCAGTTAGCTTGAGCATGTCTTCCAGCAGCCATTCCCAGTCATCCAACGACGTCAACTTGTCATCGGACCCGCCAGCCCTTCTTGCCATTCTGTTAGCCCAGGCGCGCTGTTCTGCCACGTCTGAGCTGCTCTGAAGGAACCATCGCAAGGGTGCAGGAACGCTCCATCGTGACAGGATCTCGCCCGACTCGAGATGGACGTCCAGTATGTCGAGCGCACGTGACAGAGAGGTCAGTGGCAGAGGCTGGAAGAACAGCAGGAGGTCTGACGGTGTGCATTGAGGTCGCGTGGTCGACGGCACAACGAAGGCGCCGAGAGATGCAATCGTCGTGTCGGCGACATCCTCCTCAGCGTCCGCAGCGATATCCCATGCGGGCAAACATTCGAATATTCGATTCATCGTCGTCCACTCGTCAAGACTGCTGCTCCCGTACAAACATGCCAATGCTATGCGGGCCATGTCTTCATCGTTCTGGACAATACGTTGTGCGGTGGGCAGAATCGGTTTCGATGCCTCAAAGATCGTGGCGCAGGTCTCTAGCGGCACACTGAGAATGTAGTCGTATAGGATCCGCGTTCGAATGTGTGGGTCCGGGCGGCCCGAGCGTTCAGCCCTCGACTCCAAAACAAAAAGATATGGCATGACCAAACGCCAGATGTCTCTTGCCAGGGTCTCAGCCGTCGAGTGGGCCAGATATGCACAAAGGACAGCATGCTCGTCCATGGCATGCCACCGGTCCAAAGTCCAATCGTCTTCCTCTTGCCCTTGTGGTGCATCGTAGACCAGCCGGGCCAGCAGACTCAGGTCCTCGCCCATTTCGTCCAGTCCTGGAACTCCCTGCGAGGCGGCATGTTGGACCAAGCTCAGGGCAATGTCAATCATCCCAGTGGAGGATATGACATTGCGGATACGCTCCTGGTACCAGGCGCTCAGAGAATCCACATCCAGAACGGTTTCAGCAGACTCTGCGCTCTCCTGGGCTTCAGCTGCAAGGACGTCCATCTCCAGACCGTTCAGGACTGCATGCACCACCGCATTCTCAACCCAGTCAGCTTCATTCCTCCACGGCGTCTTTACAGATACCCTCTCCTGGGGATTTCCGGTTTCAGTGGCGGGGAGAAGGTCGCGGAACAAGGAGGGGTCCACGTGGTCGGGTATACATTGTAAAATCGTCAAACGGTGCGCCCATATGGATGACGTATGTCGCCCAAACAAGCATTTGACTGCAGAGAGCCACTGTCGCGTCGCCAATGTGCAAGCAGAGTGAACAAGCGGATCCAGGAGAAATTGAGGGAGAGTCAACGGCGCGGATTCCTCCACGTCAGTCGGCGATGAAGGCTCTCCCCACGCGTCCTCCCAAGCGTCTTCCTCCCCCTGTTCCTCATTTCCAGCAAGGTTTCCCGGACCCAGTTTGCATATCTCCACATACGTGTTGAGACGGTCGAGGCGGTGGAGCAGAACAATCCGGATGGCACACAGGCGCGCGTCAGCCGGAAGTTGATTGAAGTGGGACGTGAGCGCGTCATCGAAAGGCGTAGATTCGGCATCAACTACAGTCGACGCCTGGGACCGTTGCGCAGCGGAGACCGTCCTCTCAAGGCCGAGGTCGAGTAGTGAACGTTGGATAGTCGTGTCATCAACCACCCGGTCCAGACAAGCGGTGGCAACCCAGAGGTCGTCTTCGAGAGGTTCGAGCGTCCTTTGGATGCAGTCCAAAGTGATTTCCTCGTCCCGCAAGTCAGTCCACTCCTGCGCCAAAAGCATCGCAAAATAGCGGAATAAGAGTTCGTGATGTCAAGTATGCGACTGGTGATCGCATCATCAATATTTCCACAGTGACTGCAAGCAGTACTTGTTTCTAGTGCTACCAGTGCTACTGGATCGTCTCAGACCTGCTCGACTTCGGCTGTACCAGCAGCGACCAGCCAGTGGACTCGGTGAATCCCATTCCCTACACACAGCAAAAGAAATGATTAACCTGCCAGCTGAGCACTTCAGGTCCGGCGGACGGCGTAATGTACGACAGATGCCCAAAGAGAAGCAGCACCATCAAAAGAGGGTTTCCTATGAAGAGTGAATCAGGTGTACTAGCACGATACAGATAGACTGACCTCGTCTCGAAGGTACTCGCCCACATCGCTGCATCGATGTCAGACAGGATTCACTCTCGGACAGACGACTCACGCTTGGTGGAAGACAATGATAGACGTTGGGTCTAATTTTCTCGTGTCGACCGTAGCTCGCGCCGTCACACCAAAACCCTGTGCACAGTCATGTGAGCACACGGGAGTCTAACTCTATGCAGAAAACCGCTCACCAATGGCATGTCGTTCATGCTGTACACGACGACTCCCTGATGTTCGGGTGTGTCCTCCGTGATACGACCCAGGTGGGCTTTTAACACATGGTTTCCATACAAAAAGGGCATCTCGCCGTTCGGTTTGATCCAAACCTGGAAGAAGATGAGAAGAACCGCTGCAACGATGGTGGAAACAGATACCTTGAATTTGGCGTACTTGGATATTTGGTCGAGGGCCGTTATATGCAGCTTGAACTTTCCCGATTTACTGAACTTGCCAAAACAAGTGCCGAGCGAGACGAGATTTGGTCGTGCGACGGATATTCCCAGTCGCATAGTCTCCTCCGAAACATAGTACACCTTGTCCTTTTGAAGCCGAAAGCAGTACGCGCCATCCGGTCTATCGATGAGATGAATCAAGTTTTTGCCCTGTGTAACCGTTAAGAGCAATTGCTTGCTCGCAATCTGAGAGAGCATACGATGTAGTTGGCCAACTTCTCAAACACGGCTCGGGACTCCTCCTCCGTCAAGGGACGCATTTTTAATTCGTTTGCAGACGAGTTTAGCGTGAACAGGGAAGGGGTTGCGTAGATTGTATGTGGGTTGAACGCAAAGCAAGATTTATATTCATTGACAGCTGTCAAAGTCGATGACAAATCCATCTTCCCGAGCTCAAACCGATCAGTGGTGGCCATGTTACCAGTTCCGTCCTTCTCATCGTTCCCAGCGCTACCTTCAAATTCCTCCGGCGAAGTCAAGAACAGCGATAACGAGAAAAAGAGCAGAAAAGGGAAACGAAGGAGACGTGATAAAGACCTCGATCTCGACCCCGTACGCGATGATGCGAAACGCGAGCGCGCCGAGGACATCGTGCTTTCTTGGGACTCGACACCCCCGTTGTTCTACTCAGACCGACGAGGAGACCCAAGTAATCTTACGATGGGTCTGAATAGGCGGGAGGTTCCGAAATATCGCGGAGAGAAGGTGGTTTTAGGCGTCACGGGCTCGATGACCGTCTACCGTAGTGGACATGGGATGGAAATCGGTCCTCCAGGGAAACGTAAGGTGCTTCAAGTCCATTCCGGATGTATTCGGAAAGATTCATTGCACTGCAGATGCCTAGTCTCACAGACCCGTCCTCACGCGCTCTGCTGTTTCGTAACCCAGTCCGCAGTTTATTGCATCCAACGCAACCCCCGTCGTCAAGGATCGAGACGCAGGCAGAGGAAGGAATCATTCTACTACCCTCGCGAAAACCGCGCGAAAGATCATACCGTGATATTGAAAACACGCAACCGAACTCGGATGCAGAATCCGCGGCTGACTCGGGAGCATCCGACGCCTCCGACTCCGACGACGGGAGCTTTGAGCACACAGAATATCAGCTAACAACTGTGGCGATAAATCAACGTCTTGGCGCGGAACCAACCTCTGTACCAAATTGGCTGTTGCTACTGTCACACAACTTGTCAACCGTCCCGATTACATCCAAGAACGCGTCCACAGCTCGGGCTGAGATATCCATTTCGATTCTGACTCGAGCACTGGATGCAATCCCGCAGTCTCGCATCCTTTGGCTCAAGTATCTACAAGCGGGCGAAGACATCTGGCATGAGAGTAAATTGCGATATGAGTGGGAAAATGCCTTGAAGAAAGTTGGTGGAGGGGATTTGTGGATGGAATGGATCGAATGTCAGATCCGCAGAGGCAGAGGTGGTATCTCGGCAATCGTGGACGACGTCAAGCGGGCACTGTCTTCTCTTCAAGGGGACGAAATCAGCCAACTTCGTGTATTCTGGCGGCTCGCTGTTGCTCTTCAACAGGCTGGTGAGTATGTAGAAATAGTATATGCATCATTGTGCTGACCGCCTCCAGGGTTTCCTGAGCGAGCTACTGCTATGTTTCAAGCGCAAGCTGAATTGTGAGCCGAATTCTTCCTTCATCTCGTATTGTACATTGATCGACAAGACAGAACATTCCATGTCCCGTCCTCTCTCGGACGATCCTCTTTCCAGCAAAGCCTAGACTCTCTGGAGGAGTTTTGGGAGACCGAAGTTCCTCGTGTCGGGGAGGAAAATGCGCCAGGCTGGGATGCCTGGGTCTCCGCTGGCTCTCCTACAATCCCACCACCGTCTTACCCCACCGTAGCTCAGGTCGACGACCTCGACCCATACCGCAAATTCTGCTTTTCCGAACAGATATCAGACGGTACTCAGTTTATGCCTTGTCGCGCCACAGATGATGCGGCAGATTCTGATCCGTATGCGACTATTCTGTTCTCAGACATCCGGGATGTCTTGCTCTATCTTGTCACACCGACGGCCAAAGACGTGTTTCGTTATGCCTGGCTTTCCCTCCTCGGACTGCATGTACCTGGCTTCGTCGATATAGATCCTGAAGGTGTATCAGATCTTGACGGGCGGTGGTCTCATGTCCCTTTCACCCGAGCGTCCTTTTACGATGCTCTTTTCCGTTTTACAGGGTCCCGCGAGAGCAGAATCACGAATGATGCGGTGGCTGGGACTATCATTGGCCGTGAACGTGAATATAGAGAGGGGCTTGGCGGCCCTGTCATGCTCTGGGGTCGAAATACCGTGCATCCGCTGAAAGTTCCATCTGCCGATGGTCGATCTCGTTCATTGTGGCGAAAGGAGGAACTGAGCGCGCTACCCACGGCATTCATCAGAAACGTCTTTGCGCAACTACGGGATGGTAACTGTGGTTCTGATTGGGACTGGTATGCTTTGGCATTCGAGAATGCCCTCGGTGCAAAAAGGTGTTGTACGTTTTCCATTACAATAGCAACCTCACCGTTGACGGACGTTTGCAGCGCTCTGAAGCTCTCACGAAGTTTCCTGGCGAATTCATCAGATTCAGTGACTCACTGGGCCGCGCATGCCCGGCTCGAACAGTTGCGCGGTCGCCTGCAAGATGCGCGGAAAGTGTATCAGACTGTCCTTTTGGCCAATGCGTCTCCAGGTACCGATCACGGAGCTTTGTGGTGGGACTGGGCTGAAATGGAGTGGCTTGCTGGGGAACCACAAGCCCTGCTGCGGGTTTTGCTGACATGTACTGGTGTCGAGGGCACAAATGGCATAGCTCTGTTGCGTGCTAAACGGTCTTTAGATGATCGGATCCAGACTTCTGATCGCCCAGGTCGGATAGCCTGGATCATGCTACGAACTCTTTTTGAGCTCGCTGCTGGGAATGGTGCTGAGGCTGCCCTCGATGTCTTCGATGTTCAGCTCAAGCTAGTCGATGACAGCTCTCTTGAACGACTGCAGGTCGAGGGGCTCCTGATGCTCTTCCGACACACTGTAGTCCTCCGCCATCCATTGCCCCCCGCTTTGCTGAGAACGAGAGCCGAGGCAGCGGTCAAGGCATACCCCAGCAACTCTATCCTGCTCGGTCTATATCTAGAGGCCCAGAAAGGCCAGGGTGTCTGGGGGAAAGTGCGAGGCTTATTGGGGGAAGAGACTGAGAAAACGGTTGGGAGACGGATTGAGGATGTTTGGATCGCAGCTTGGGACCAAGGCAGATGGGAAAATGAAGTTGAGCGGATGAGGATCGCGCTCATGAGTGCTCTCGAGAATGGATGGTATGGCTCCTCTGGGTTGTGTGTTACTTCGCTGAATCCCATTAGCACAAAACATAGCTGCATTCTGTGGAGACTAGCTACTGAACTCGAGGTTAAGACAGGAAATCTCCCCAGGGCTAAGGCCTTGTTGTTCAGAGCGATCGGAGATTGTCCTTTGGTCAAAGGTGCGATGCGGTCACACAGCGAGGTGATTGTCTGATGTCAGGTTTCAAGACTTGTATCTGCTTGCTTTCGGTCCGTTACGGTCCGTTTTCACGACTCGCGAACTGAACTCGTTCGCCGATTCGATGGCTGAACGTGAAATTCGAACTAGGCGAGGGCTGGATTCATTCGTAGTGGGTTGGAAGGAAAAGGACGCTCAAGAAAACTTGCCAGAGGATGATATTCCAGAGGGTGATGAGATCGAGCGTTCCGCCAACGAATATCGCAGATTGCTCCCGTATTAGCCCATTTTTATTACATACCGCGCAGTTTCATGCTGTGCATTCAGAACCCCGCCTAGCGATTAGCCGATTGCGCATGACTGTAGTACGGACCCACGAGGGGAATGAGGTTCTCATTCCGAACTCTACCCCATCCTACACCTCTGGGCCATCGTCGAACACCTTGCAACGAATGCGCTTGGCTTCGCTTGAATACTCATTCATGTGTTGTGAACGAACCAGTCGGTTCGATCAACACCCTGATTTGGATACCGTAACACAAATAAGAGATGCAAGCGGGGGCATTCTTTCAAAGGTAAGTCCCATTGTACTCAAAAGGACGAAACAAGCTGAGTACTGGCGATTGTGTCGTCGAGTATCTCTCGTGGCATTAGATTGAGAGGCAAACAACATTGTCGTTGCTGGCCAAATATTTGAGTTTGTTTGGTTTACCCTCTCCGTTCCACTGTGACACACGCTGAGCGCACTCAGCAGCTCTCGGCTCCCCAGTCTCTGGCTTGTCTTTTACCTGTCTGCACGAGATCTCTCGCCAGGCAATTCGTTCTCTTTCATTTCCCCTACTGCGCACGGTCGCACGACAACCGCCTCGCGCCGCGCCGCTTCGTACCTCTCTTTCGCCTCTTCCTCACCACACCGCCTATCTACCTACCTATTTTCCACCCTAATATCCGCCACCGATGACCACCATTCCAGCTCCATCCCGCCAAATGGTTCGCGAGGAATGGTCCGATGCTGATTTTGACCTGCGAGACGATCAGCCTCTGCACACAGGAACCGATAGAGACCCCGAAGACGATGAGGATTGGGATGCTGAGATGGATCTCGGAAAGACTGGGCAACAGGCCCTACCATCCGGGATCACATCTGCTCCCCCCTTGTCGCAGGCGTTTATCATTCGACCGTCTCAAAACTCTTCCGAGGGTGACGACGACGAAGATGAAGGCGTCTCCACCATCAAAGTCGCCATCCTGACTAAACCCGCCGTCCCAATCTCAGTTCCACAGTCTTCACAATCCTTCGATGATGACTTCGAAGACGCATTTTCCCTCCCTGCCGATCTGACTCAGTTGTCTTTGGCGCCACTCTCTCTTAGCCACCGGATCTCAAAAACCTCATTGGAATGGGGCGACAAGGACCAAACATCGTCTTCACAGTCCTCGGATGCCTACTCCTCTCTTGGTTTCGCTGATGCATCCCCCTCCTCAAACTCGACTTCCGTGTCTCTTCCAGTAACGGAAGACGACGACGACGACGACGACGAACTCGAGGGGCTTGTTATTCCCTCGGGTATTTTCGAGTCGGGCAAAGGCGCCCGTCAGCTGACCAAGCTTCTGGAGATGAAGAAGCATGCTGAGGTCCCTGATCGCCCAGTCCGGCCATCGCGAGCGCCGGAGGAAGATTTCGAGTCTGGGCTAATCATCGATGACGATCACGAGCTTAGTCCCAGTCGGCTCTTGTCAGCTCAGCAGTCGAAACGTGTTTTGAACACACGAACCAGAAGCCTACCCACCCAACGCCAGCCGTCCTCTCTCCGCCCACCCTCACGCCTAAGGCATGATGGTGCGAAATCGCCTACATTCACGCGGCCGCCTCCTTCTAGAAACCAAACTATATCTCCCACCAGCGCATCCTCCTTCTTGACATCGAAATCCGGTAATCTCCGGGGTCAAAAATCACATTCCGGTTTTTCGAAGCCGGCATCCCCACCTGCGAATCCGCGAAAACTGACCCGGCAAGCCTCGCTCTCATCGCTGATGGAGGCCAGCAACCAAGCGTCAGGCTCCGGTTCTGCCTCTGCTGGGCCGTCACGCGCAGGCTATGAGGAGCCCACCGCTGCTTCACGAGCCAAATCATACAAAAGCCGAGAATTCAAAGTGCCGCCAACAAGACCTACCACTCCATCAAACAATCCAGCCGCGTTGCGGTTGACCATGCCAACTGTCCTGCGCTCGAAATCGCGTCCAACACTGTCCTCTGTGTTCAACGGACCACCCTCAGCATCTGGCCCCCAATCCCCCATGTTCCGATCTATGTCCCCAGTCCCGCCACGGCCATCGTCTGCCCACCTGCCGCCCCGACCGCCTTCCTCACAATCAGCGACCCGACCCTCAGTTACACGTGTGCTGAAGCGGCCAAAGCGACAGCGCGTTTTTGGTGATGGGACGGAGCTCGATGGGTTCGACGATCTGCCTACAGATCGAGACCAGGAAAGCCGCTTCCGGGTGCAACCCAAAGGTTATGGAAACCGGGTCCCAGGGGCATCCTATTCCCCTGCAAAACCCGAGAAAGGCACCATCCGAAGAAAGAGGAGGGAAGGATCCGACACCATGCCTGGTGCGTTCATCGTCGTCAGTCATCCTGTTACTGACTTTTGGGCTCAGATATCAAGCCTCAGGCCCCATCGCCCAAGAAGAGAAAGCAGCCGGCTTCGCCATTACCCGCGGCAAAGAAAAAGCCGACGCTGATTCGAAATTTGAGTGGTGTAGGAGCCTCGCGAGGTGCGCCGCAACCTCAAGTCTTGGGTTGCTTACTGACTTGCCGCAGTTGTTGGCGACATGAAGTGGAATCCCCAGAGCATGCGATGGGAAGGAAACGAACATGTCCTCCGTGACTTTGACGCCGCTGTGGGATCCTCGACAAGGCCAGCTCTCATCACACATCTGACGGGCTCGTCCATTGGATCGCCAGTGGGTTCCTTTGCCAATGGCGCCCGGATTGTGGGTAACATGATGTTTGACCCGTCTCGCATGTGCTGGGTTTCGACACTGCCTCCGGAAGAGGAGGAGCCCGACGTCTTTGCTGATCTGGCCGATGATGAGGACGATGGCGATGCCTGGGAAGAGAAAGGCGCCACCATCCGCGCCAGTGCTGCGCTCGGCACCGATTCGCTTGCTTCGAGCACAAGCACGACGATTGCCCCTTCTTCAGCTTCGTCCAGTCCAGCTCGCAGCGAGCATTCATTCCCGCGATCCGGTCCGGCCTCCGAATCCGATAGCGAACGAGACCGGGGATCTCGAGCTTCGATGGTCGTTTGTGACGTGGATGAGGCCTTCATCGAACGATGTCGAGCAGCCGAGGCTCGGCATCGGCAAGAAATGCGTGGCTGGAATCTCAGCTCTACATTATCAACCCCCAACGATGCGGATCCTTTTGCAGGACAGCGCATCGATCGGCGCCATCTTCACGAAATCCGAGAACTCGCTACAAGAAAGTATAGTTGAAGTCTATTTTCTATGTATGTCATCTCATGCCCACTCATGGTTTCCCTTACATTCATTTTGGTTTGTCTTTGTACATACTCTCATCTCGCATTACAATATTGTAGGTTTGACTACTGCTGCGTTTTCGTTCGTGTAGGCCATCAATATGTAGCTCTCTGCAATCAACAACGGAATTATGCATGATTAGTCAGCAAGCATCCATGTCTCCTCTGACCGTCGCGTACGCGCTCAACCCACCTCAAACACTAGTGGTTCCCGTCTCCCTATCCACATCAAAGACCCATACCTACGAGGTGGCAGGCACAGAGTACTACGCGTCCCTTCGCTCTGCTATCGCGTGCGCTCGCGAAGAAATCGGGGCGGAGCTCACTGCCTGGCGAGATCTGGTCGGCAAAAGCGAGGAATCTAAAGAGAGATCGAAGAAGACCAGGATAACTAAAGACGAGGAAGAGATGGAAGACGATGACGAGGAGGGCGTATAGACAACCATAGGCTCTTATTGGAGTGTGTGTAAACTAATCTAATTGCTACGCGTCGCCTTGCCCCGAGGCCGTTCTTTGATGACCATCTTGTTACTGTTTTTGGGACCCTTGGGTCCGGGTTTACGAGTACGAGTGCCACGAGCTCCCCAACCCCAGATCGACACGGGATGTTTGTTGGACTTGGATTTACCTCGTCCTCCTCCGTGAGGGTGATCGTTGCTGCGCAAATGAGACGGTGCAGAGAAAATACATGGACGAAAGTACTCACGCGTTCATTGCCACACCACGGACAGTCGGCCGCCAGCCCAGCCATCGCGACCGACCCGCCTTTCCCAGACTGCGATTTTTCCACAATGGATTGCTCACGCGACCGATAGTCGCACAGCAGCCTTGCAGAATCTTGCGTACTTCGCCGCTCTGCAGACGAACATGGGTGTATCGTCCGACTTCATCGTGACCCACGACTTGCGCTGAGGAGCCAGCTGAGCGGACGAGGATTCCGGGTCCAGTGGGTACCAGCGCAATGTTGTGAATGACAGTCCCAATGGGGATCAGCCGCAGTTGGAGAACATTTCCTGGCTTCAGCGTCAAGGTACGAAGCAGACCGAGCGCAAGGTTTTGCGACGACGATTCCTCCAACTTTTCCAACGCCGCGGACTCCTCAGCGTCCTTCGCAAGCGACGGCGTGCTTTTCTGCGACTTCGATGTGCGCGCATTGAGCTTGTCCACGTCCAGCCCCGGCACAAATCCATGGGGTATACCAGCTCTGAAGCTCTGCACTTGGTCCCCGGCGCGAATGCCCTCCGGTGCCACGATGTAGCTCCATTTGCGCACACCCAGCGCGTTTGGATCCCGGTTATGCAATAGGGCTATGTGCGCGCTGCGCCCCGGGTCGTATTCAATTCGGACCACGTCGTGGATGCCCGGCTCTTCGCGCTTGAAGTCGAGAGTGCGGATACGTTGCCTGTGTCCTCCGCCGCGGTGTCGCACGGTTATGCGCCCATGCGAGTTGCGGCCACCAGTCTTGCGCTTGGCAACTGTGAGTTGGAGAATAGGTCGGCCCGCCCAGAGGTGAGGATTCAGGGGGCGACGGAGGTGACGAAGACCAGGGGACACGGGCTTGTACGTTTTGAAGATGGCCTCCGTACGTGACATGGTCTCTTCCAGCTCGCGTCTTTTGGCCAGCTTACGCAGAGCATGACGGCTTTCCGCATAACCTCTGGAAAGGTTCAACGGTATTGAAGAGGGAGCACGCGAACCCGAAGCTAGCAAGCCTCGCCGCAGAGAAGAGAGCATCAGGATTTGGGAACAAAATGTTCTACTTACATAAGCTACAATACCCGTGCCCAGGCATCTTTACCCAAGACGCTCTCTAGACCACTCAACATCCTCTTCAACTCCCGCTTCACCTGCTCGGTCTCTTTCCCAGCCACCCGCAATATCGCTCCGTCGTTCTCTGTCTGACTCAACGACCACAAAAGCGTCTCTGGTGTGTTGGTTTTGAGAATGGATATGCGACTGTATTCTTCTTTGAGAGTAGCCACGATTTGACGCGTCTGGGATCCAAAGAGTAACACCGTTGCATAACAAGGATATGGATGCATCTTCTGTGCTAGTGTCCGCTTGGGGAGTTTGTCGCTGGGACGATCTGGTTCGTTTTCTAACACCATGACATCGCGGACAACGCGTTTCCCATCTATCACCACTTCATTGACGCTGCAATATCGAGAGAACACCCATTCCTCTTCGAGCGCCTGCCGCCCGCAGGTGATCCAGTCCACTGCGACCAGGGACGCGTCGTGCGGTAGAGAGAAAGTCTGCGTCTGTGTGTAGGAGGCATCTCTGAAGCAGGTCACTGGATCGGGGAGCAAGAATAGTGAGCCTGACGACTCGATTTGTACCGTCAATGTTTGTGTGGTGTGGGGTACATGGCCGGATGATGTTTTGAGGGTCGCCGCCCTCGTGCCCGGGCGCATTTTGAACACCTTAGTCGATCCCTGGTAATGTCGCGTGAATGGATGCCTCTCTCCCTTATCGCTGTAAACGACCCCCACCTGTGACAGCAACACACCGCGCGCGCCAGCTCCGATCCGGACTTGCAAATTTACGCGATCTCCACTCACCAGTCCACCGCCGTAACTGAGCATGTAGACCAATCCGACGGCGGGAATGTGGGACAGGCGTGGCGATAAGAGTTTGAGGGGATATGTCGAGGACATCTTAGTGAATACAGCTTCCTGCCCGTGAAGGTCGATCTGTATGTGGCCATATCCAGGCTCGAGGGACATGATGGCAGAGAAAGATGAGTTGGAAATGTCTGATGCGCCGCTTTCAGGTCATGTACTTCTGACGATATGGGATTGGCTTAATTAGTTATACACAATGATACAAGATTGCATCGAAAGCGATCTACGGAGTTCAAAACCGAAGTACATCTACCTTCGTCGCAGCCGCGACTGGAGCCGGGCCGTCAACCTCGATCTCAGATGGATCTCTGGGTTCTAGAGGAGGAGGCGCCGACTTCTGACCATTGCGATGCTCATCCAACCATTTATCCATGTCATCAGCGCGATCGAAGGGACGTTTGCCTAATAAATTGAGCATATCCTCGCTGGAAGACTGTCAGAAGGAGAACGGAGAGGTGGCCAGTGTAACCCACCGAGTGATGTTCTCCTTCTCCAAAAGCAGTTGCGCCACCTTGATGACATCCTCCCGATGTTCAGTCAGTAGGTTCCGTGTTCGGTCATAAGCAATCCTGGGTTCCCGATGAGCGAGAGATGAGAGAGAAAGGCAGAGCGCTCACGTTATCATCTTCCGCACTTCAGCGTCGAGCATCTCAGCGGTCTTCTCGCTGAATGGCTTGGTGAATGTGTCGTTCGACCTATGGGCACCGCCGTAGCTGATTGGACCAATGACTTCGTTCATGCCGTAGTTGGCACACGCTTCAAAGGCCATGCGGGTGATCTTCTGCAAATCATCCTGCGCGCCGGAAGTGATGTTTTCCGTTCCAAAGAAGATCTCTTCGGAAACACGGCCTCCCAAAGTCATGCAGATGCGGTCAGTCATCTGAGGGGTCGACATCAGGTAGCGCTCCGCAGGCAGATACTGTAGCAAGCATGAGACTAGGATCATTGGGAGAGGGCAGAAACGCATACCTGCGCGTATCCGAGAGCGCCCGTGCCTCGAGGGATGATGCTGACCTTCAGCAAGGGGTCGGCATGCTCAAGGAACCATCCGCAGACGGCGTGCCCAGCCTCATGGTAGGCCACCGTCTTCTTCTCCTCAGGACTAAGCACACGGCTCTTGCGCTCCAACCCGACGATAACGCGTTCGATGGCCGTGTCGAAGTCCACAGACTCGACGTACTCGGACCCTTTCCGCGCAGCATGCAGAGCAGCCTCGTTACAGACATTGGCGATGTCTGCTCCAGAGAAACCCGGCGTCAGAACAGCAAGTTTCTGCGCAAAGCCATCCTTGTCTGAGAGGGCCTCGTGCAAGCGCAAGGGGCGAAGGTGCACCATGTAGATACCCTTACGGCCCGAGACATCCGGTCTGTCGATGGCGATATGTCTGTCGAAACGACCGGGTCGCAGTAGTGCCGGGTCGAGGATATCCGGTCGATTAGTTCCAGCGAGAACAACTACGTGCTCCTGAGTTCCGAAGCCATCCATCTCCACAAGCAGCTGATTCAGCGTCGACTCTCGCTCGTCGTTGCCACCGAAATTGCCACCTTTGGAACGAGACTTGCCGATAGCGTCGATTTCGTCTACGAAGATGATGCAAGGGGCATGTTTCTTAGCATCGGCGAAGAGGTCTCGTACACGGGATGAACCGACACCGACGAACATCTCGACGAACTCGGATCCGGAGACGGACAGGAACGGAACGGACGCCTCACCCGCAGTTGCCTTTGCGAGGAGCGTTTTTCCTGTTCCCGGAGGACCAGACAGAATGGCGCCACGCGGGATCTTGGCACCCAATTTCTCGTACTTGGCGGGCTCCTTCAAGAACTTGACAAACTCCATGATCTCCTCTTTGGCCTCGTCCATTCCGGCAACGTCCCTGAACTTGACATTGACGTCGGTGTCCTTGTTGTAGAGCTTGGCCCGGCTTTTTCCAATGCTGAAGATGCCTCCACCGCTGCTTCCGCTACCCCGACGCGAGAGCCATACAAGGAAACCAATCGTGAGGATAGTCGGGGCGAAGTCGAAGGCTGCTTGCCACGCCGAGATTTCGTCGTGGTAAGCGACCGGGATACGTTCGTGACTCGGAATCCCCAGTTCGGCTTGGGCCTCGTCCAGCCTTCGCTCGAAAGCCTCTATGCTTCCGATCGAGAAAAAGTAGTCTGCCGCGCCGAAATTGGCATTGGTCGGGTACATGGTCCCTGTCGCATTGGAATGGAGCTTGACCCGGACCTTGTGCCCATTGACGACGACCAGCTTGTCCACCAATCCTTTCTCTAAAAATGCCGCACGGAATTCCTGCCAGGTGATTTCGCGGGACGAGGACGAGTTAGAGCTCGAATAGATGAAGTAGGCGATAGAAGCGCTGGCTAGCCATGCGAGCTGGGTGTTGGAAAAATTGAAGTTGTTATTAGGGGGAGGAGGGGGAGGGGGAGAACGAGAGTTTCGGTTCTTCGAATCTGGATTGGAAGAATTGCCTTTGGATGATGGTGAAGGCCGCTGCTGCTTGAAGAAACCCTCGAGGTCTTTCGGCAAGTCCTGCTCCTGCTCCTCCTTCGGCTCCGTGCGTTCGTTCTTGGGCGGAGTGGAACGATGCTGGGACGAATATGAAGCAGTGAGCCTTATAGGTCTGCGAACAGCGCGCGCTGCCCTGAGTGACCGAGAAAGCATGCAAGATGAGGGATGAAGCAAGATGAAATTGACGCGTATGTTGGCTGACTGATGGCCGACATGGGCCGAAATCGTGACAAATGTAGCACACACGCAAGTACATCGGGGGGATCGTAAAGAAGATGAGCTCAGCGGTCAGGTGTCATGGATCTGGCTCGTCGACCTCGAAAGCACAACAGAACACTTCTTTATCTAGCAGTACCACACCCTTTCCGTCCAGAGTCCATCTCAAATCGCGAGTCTCGAAGCTCTCTATTAACAGAATGTGAAAAGACCTCCCAGCCCGATAGATGAAAGACGCACTGGCGGGGACCCCTATGCACTCTGCCATCTCTTCCTCCCCGTGTTGGCCCTGCCACTCATCGCTCCAGGAATAAAGACTGCGACTACCACAGCACAAGACCAGATTCCCTTTCTCGCGGGATTCCACCGCGCATGTGCGACGGGTCTAGTGTGGATAAGCACCGACCGTAATCTTGGAGTACCCGACGCCGGAAAATCGAATAAATGGACAACAGTAGGCGAACTTTCTGCAAAATAGTCAGTTCCAACAAATTTGTGCGCAAGGATGTGAATCGACCGAAGCGGACGAGCAGAAGTGTCCCGCTGGCATTCCATTCCATTTGCACAGTGCCGCTCTTAGGATTGGGCTTTGTGGAATCGGGTTTCTGAACGACGATGGAGTGAGAGCCAGTCAAACGTTCGTCTGTAATGTTGATTAGCACAGACGTCTGGGTGCAATGATGAAGGCTTCTGCACAGGACAAGAATCCCCGTCCCTCTGTTGCTTCTTGCCACCTAGATGGTTCTCGCCAGATAGTCTGCCTCTCCGTCAGCACTCATCTCAAGAATCTCGTGTCCCATACAACACCAGCAGGCACTCTGGACAAGAGTTCAAAGGTCACTGCAGCAGTCCAAGTGAGGTCCAAGATGTGAATCTGTGTGAGATCAGTCGAGAACGTCCAAGCACTAAGACGAATTGGCTAGCCTTGTCGTCCCAGCCGCTGACTGCAAGAAACATGCCACTCGGGTGCCAGGCAACCCGGCGAATCCCCAATCCAGGATCGGGCTCTGGGCAAAACGTGCCCAGCACAGATCCTGTCAACGACAAAACGCACAGCTTGTACTTCAAGGTCGTCAGAATATGTTCGATCTCAGAATTGATAAGAAGAACTCGCCTCCGTTGGACCTTCCCAGACGGCGAGATGGTCCCCCTTAGGAGACAATGCTAGCGCCGCCAGTGAGGACGTCGGCGACGGGAAATGCTGCACAAGACTCAATGCATACCTGGTGGAAGGTAGACAGATCGGACTAACGCGGACGAGCTTATACTCCTGCTCTGTATCATAGACGCCTATCGTGTCTCTTGATTTGTGCCTCTCCGCCAGCACGAAGTATCGACCATCAGCTCTGAACGCGTAGCCCGTGTCTGGATGGAGCGGGAATTGGATGTATATTGCGGTCCCCGACACTAAGGACCACACAGTCACTCTGAGCTAGAGACGAACATCACAACTCCTGTCGCGCGGAGTCAATGCGAACTCACCCCCCATTGAGAGAAGCACAGCACCGTGCGGCCATCGGGAGCCCATTGTGCCTTGACAAGGCCTCCATGCTGTTCTCAATGCCGTCCACTGTGCCGTCCTATAAATATCTGCGCACCTTCAGCACCGCATTCGATCCGCGCCGACCACTCAGGATCTTGTACTTTGAAGATCTGAACGGCTCCCAGTTTCGCGGAAGCCGCCAGCACGTATTCAGAATCACACGACCATCCGATGTGAGATATGAGGTGCTCCTGTGAGCTGTTCTTTGGCCTGACTGCAGCGGTCAGGAGGTGGGTTGGAGTTGGGGACGCGTCGATCCGCCATGTTCGCATGATCTGGAAAGTGTCCGCGCGTCGGAGTACGAGTCGATCATGGACAGCGGTAAGTATGAGGTGGGATCCATGACTGAAAGACACGTTGGCGCCAGAGTGTTTGTACACTTCAGTGAAATCCATTGAGGAAACGGTGCGAGCTATCGGACGTCGGATGCAATGGCAGAGGCGCGTAGGGCGCGTGACACCGTGCACATGACCTCAGTGACATTCTTCGTATGACTGATTTTCCCAGACTTTTGTCTAAGCGTCATGGTTGAGCATGTTGGCTGTCATGATCTATACGAGGCCCAGCCGCCGGATAAAGCTTGCCCGAATTTGTCATGCAAAGTTCGGGCGCGGAATCCACCATGCAGCCCACAGCAGAGGATTACCTAGAGCAACCCGGCTCGGACGAGAAACCCGACTACGATCCTTATCTGATAGATTCTTTCGAAGAGGGAGACCCTGCGAATCCACAGGTATTTATGCCACACCGTTGGAATGTTCATTCGTCGAATTTAACGCCTCGATCAAGAACTGGAGCAAGCTGCAGCGATGGTGCGCGGAACTGCTCTACGTCAGCTCTATCTGACAGTCCCGGTGGCATGCACAGGTATCTTACCGTCTTCTCAGGCCTCTTGGTACTGAATGCGTGAGCTGATTCACATCTGTGTGTGCTGTTGCTCGAGATTTACTTGCAGAACATTCGCGAGCGCTGCGCGTCAGTCCAATCCTTTCCTGCGGCTAGCTATCATTCATGGGATCATGTCAGCTTCTGGAATCGCCCCTCTGTTGGCAGAGCATTACCATCTCTCGGCAGAGGGGACGACTTTGGCCCTCTCTCTTTTCATCGTCAGACTCCGCCGCATCTGTGATGACTGCGTCTCCCTGACATGCTGCTAGACTGGTTATATCGTGGGGCCTATGCTCTGGGGACCTTTAAGTGAACAACTGGGAAGGCGGCCTATTGCGATCTATCCATTTATTATATATACGGCACGTTCCGAGTCAGTGCCCCGGGATGATCTTACTCAAAGCGTGCCTGCAGATCTTTCAAGTGGCTGCGGCCTTGGCGAACAACGCAGCCTCACTTCTGATCTTCCGTTTTATCGGCGGGATGTTTGCTGCCGCTCCTCTCACCAATTCGGGGTGATGCGCTTCCCTCAGCCAGATCGATCGCCGCTGAACGTGAGTGTTCAGTGCCATCATTGCCGATGTGTGGGATGCCAGCACACGAGGTTCATATCCATTCGTTTACGCGCCGTCGACGTGCTCACCAGTATGTGCAGGCAAGGCATTAGCTCTTTTTACCCTAGCGCCCTTTGCTGGCAAGTTCTTTTTCACTGAGTGGTATGGTCCGTAACCGGACTCAGGCCCCGCTGTCGGCCCAACCGTAGCAGGATTCATCGCCGTGACCGGTTTGTCCTCCCACGATCATCAGCTGCGCATCCGCTGACTTCCTATAGGCACAGACTTTCACTGGATCTTTTGGGTGCGTGTGAGACGCTTAGAACGAGCGTCACAACGGCTGACATCGACACGTAGATCCAAGCTATCTTTGTATGGGCTACCTCTGCGAGCATCCGCCGGAACTCCCTCACGAATTTCTAGGCAGCTGTTTGCACTATCCTGGCATTTTTTACCGTCCCGGAAACATATGTGTAAGGGCATTTGGCTGCGATTGATTCGTCGTCTCGAATGCTGCTACAGGCCGGTCCTTTTGGTGGCTGCGGCTGCAAAGAAGCGGGATGAAACAGGCGATGCTAAATACTATGCTCGCCTCGAAACTGCCAAAGTTTCGATGGCAGAGAGATTTGAAAGCATCGTGGCTCGGCCTTTCAAGGTCTTGGGGACTGAGGTCTGTTTTTATCCCCACGTATGTTTGTTGATTGCTTATGGTAACATGACATCTTAGCCTATGCTGATCGTCCTCACGTTTTACATGAGCTTCGTTTATGGGTCGGTCTGGATGCCAGTTTGCTTTGTTTTTTCCTAAGCATATGATTCATTTTTCAGATGCCTATATCTCTTATTCGAGGTGCATAGTGCTTCGTAAATGACCGCATCATACTAACAAATGGGTGCAAGGCATATCCGATTGTTTTCACACGAGGCCATGGTTTGAATCCTGGCGTGTCTGGCCTGACGTTCTTTCCAATCTTGCTCGGTGGTGTCGCTGGTGTCATGCTCTCGATTATTGTTTTCAACCCGCGTTACGAGGAAAGTGGCGGAGCTTGCGCCGGCTCCCGTTCCTCCGGAATTCCGTCTAGAAATGAGTGAGCAGAACCAGATCTTACTCGAATAACAGCTGATGGACATCGTCAGCATTGCTAGCTGCTCCCCTATACGCGATATCGTTCTTTTGGTTTGGGTAAGCGATCCCGACGTCCCCATGTTTTTCTGATTGCCTAAATACAACACAGATGGACGTCATATCCTAGCATCAGCCTGTGGGCTCCCATGATGTCTGGAGGGATTATGGGACTTGCTATCAATGGCATTTTCGTGAGACTGGTCCCATGCAATCAAGTTTTCACGGCTGACTCCGTTTGCAAGCTCTCTCTTTTGTCAGTGAAATTTCGAAGCACAGTGACGTAGCTGAATGACCCGGGTCAGCAATTATATCATAGGTATATCGGATGCGCGGCTGCTAGAGAGAGTACGTACTCAAGTCTTCGCAGACACATATCTCCATGTCGCAGCCACAGCTCTTGCGGCAAACACCATCATCCGCTCCATCTTCGGTGCTGTCTTTCCAGTGAATCGTCAACATCACTGTACTAGCTTCTGAGTCGCTGACTCTTATCTAGCTTTTCGCTACACAGATGTTCGATGGCCTTGGCCCCCAGTGGGCTGCGTCGGTGCTCGGTTTTGTCGCGCTGGCCATGGTTCCTGTGCCCATCGTTCTCATCAGGTCCGCGTCTCTTCTCGATCCTTGACCTCCGCTCTAACAATGACAGGTATGGTCCCTACCTTCGTTCAAAATCTCGGCATGCGCCGACCTGAGCAGCAACACGGTATTCCCGAGACTCTCATACAGTATATTACATAGCACACATTCGTTAGATTTGTTCCGCATCCGCCTTGTTCTGCCCGTTTCTCCCACTTTGCTGGCCTAAGCGGACAGGTGAACACTGGCCATCATGAGCCATCACACCGTGACATGTGACGTGACATTCTCACTCGCCGCTTTCCACTACCATGCCGCCGTTAGCTCTGCAAGGGACTGTCATCAGAGTGGGCCGCATGCAAAAGACGGCCACTGTGTTGGTATCACGTTGGGCGTCCCACAAGCTGACCGGCAAGGTGCTGAGCATCACGGCAAACGCCTGTTCCAAATTCTGAACTGTCTGCAGCGAATGGAGAGGTCCAAAAAGTATCACACGCATGATGAACACAACAGTGAGTCGGACGTATCCGGCGCTTCGCCAGCACTAACTACGCGCGCGCGCACCGCCAGCCTTACGCATGGACGACGTGGTCTTAATTCGCAACTGCCCTCGCATTACCAAGACGAAACACTTCAGACTCGAGCGGGTGCTGCAGAGTCCGGAGAAGGAACGGGAAGCCCGCAGGGCGGCGCTCGGTCACGCAGCAGCAGCAGCACCCGTCGCAGAGATCCCCCCAAAAGCTTAATCCACTCTCCCTCTGCGCGAAAGGCTGCCCCTCTTCATGCCGTGATGGCTGGCGCGGTCGTATTCGGAGAGGCGGCCTGCTGGGCTTGCTGGAAGGCGGCTTGGATCTCGACAAGCTAGGAGTGGTACAATATGAAGCAGAACGAGTAATACTGGGCTGAGAAACACACCTCGTTTTTCTTGCTGTTCGACTTGTTTTGAATATCCTGTAACTGCGTCTCTACCCGTTTACTGCGCGGAATCGATTGAATGGGAGTCGTCGGAGCGGTCAGTTCAAGCATGCGTACATCTCGCTCTTGATGAACTCCAGCCGGGTTTGTACGTTGTTTTTGGCGTCGGCTTGATCTTGCTTCACGAGGACAGGCCCGACCTGCTTGTAGACCACGTCGTTGGGTGTCAATTGGTCGAATTCCTGGTGCGCGCGCATGAGATGAGCAGTTCTAATCAGAGCCCATCGCGGTTCCGCACTTTCTTCACCAGCTCGTTTTCTCCCAATTGCGCATCCAATTTCTGACGCGCTTCGACCGTGTTCGAAAGATCGCCCTGCAGCTTCTGGTACTCCTCGGATACGACTTGCAGTCTCGCGGCGGTTTGGGGATCCATTGTGGGCAGACGGGCGAGCACTTCGCAGTCGTAGTGATCCCTGGTGGTCCGGATAAATGAGAGCACGACCCCGTGACCACGAGTGATAACCCGGCCGATGGCGCTGATAACACGCTGATAACGGGTCCCCGAGACCCGCGAAAGGGATCCACTATCCCACCCCGATATTCTCTCTTACTAACCACCATGTCCAGCATCAAGATCGATTGGGAGAAGGTGGCCAACCCTGAGACCGTGCTCGAGCGCTTCCACAGCCGGCGCTCCGTCGTGTATAGCACCAAAGGGATCGTCGCTGCCTCGCAGCCCCTGGCAGTCGCAGCTGGATTGGAGATCCTGAACAAGGGAGGAAACGCCGGTTTGTCGCTGTCCTCCTGTGTTTCTGTGGCTCACGGCCTGTAGCTGATGCTGCCGTCGCGTGCGTCGCACTCCTCTAAGCGATGGTCAGGACTGAGTTGACATACTTCCAAGAACTTCGGCCGCTTTGAACGTAACGGAGCCCAGCTGCTGTGGGATCGGCGGGTCAGCGATACATCTCCCCATTGTCCTCCCATGTCTCTCATTTCGTTGGCAGCGACGCGTTCTGTCTGTTCTACGATGCGAAGACCAAAACTGTGAAGGCTCTGAACGGGTGCGCCTTTCCGGCATATTCGAATGTCCCTTCTCAAACGTTCTCCCCTAGATCCGGTCGCTCTCCAGAGAAACTGACTTTGGAATACGCGCGAGGGCGCGGACTAACCGGAGGGTCAATTCCTTTGACTGATCTCAATTCGGTGACTGTCCCGGGTACGCAGTCCATGCCGCACCGCTTCCCTCGTCATTATGAGACGTTATATAGGTGCGGCGGCGGCCTGGATCGACACTGTCGAGAAACTGGGGAGCGGGAATGTCACCACGGCAGATGTGTTTGCCCCCGCAATCCGTCTCGCCGAGGAAGGGCAAGTATGGTGTTTGTCCAGCCGGATCCGTCCAGCTCACGTTCTTGCAGAGTTCCCGTTTCTGAGATCCACAGCGTGTCATGGCAGAGATCGGAAGTGAGTCCAATCGTCTGCTCTCCGGTCCCGGCCTGGACACTTCTCACCGGATCACACAGAATCTGATCAAGAATGCCTCCCCCAACGGCAACGAGATGCTGCTCAATGGAAAGGCTCCTCTGCCGGGGCAGATCATTCAGCTGCCCAATCTCGCGCGGACCTTCAGGCAGCTGGTCGAGCAGGGCAAAGACGGCTTCTACAAGGGGCGCGTTGCCGAAGCCATTGTCGAGCTCATCCAGAGCAAGGGCGGTGTGATGGAGCTGGAGGATCTCGCCAAGCATAAAACCGACTTTGTTGAGCCGATCAAGTACACCTACGCGAACGAAGTGACGCTCTATGAGGTGAGCTGGATCCCAATGCTCTTCCATGAAAGCCCTTCATATTTTCCAAGTGTCCCCCCAATGGACAAGGCCTCACCGCTCTCGTTGCGTTGGGGATCCTGGAAAGTCTCCAAGAATCGGGAGCTATCAAGCCATTGCTTGAGCTCGAGCACAGTTGCGTTGCCAATGACTTGGACATGCACGAGAATCTGATTCATTTGAACGACTAGACGGCCCTGAATATCTGCATGTCATGATCGAGGCCCTGAGGTTCGGATGTGAGATAGCTCTTTATACTTTTGCTGACGGGTTAGTCCAGGCTTGCGTTCGCCGACACCCAGTACTATGTGTCAGACCCAGACGTTGTTCCAGTGCCTGTCGAGGAGCTTCTCAGCAAAGTCGGTCTCTCTTTCTTGCGATTCAATCCAACCGTGCTCACCGATACAGGAATATCTAGCTTCTCGGGCAAAACTGATCAACCCCCTTAAGACGAATCCGGAAATCGTTCATGTAGGTCGGTCGTCTGTGCGTCTGTGGATGCCTGACATCGCTTTAGGGCAACCCGATGAACTCCAGTGACACTGTCTATTTCACGGGTTCGTCATTCGTCGCTAGCATGATCGACGCTGAAAATTGCGACAGTGGCCGACCAATGGGGAAACGCCTGTAGTTACATCCAAAGCAACTATGCCGGTAAGCTCAAGGCGACGGGTCCGACAGAGCGCGCTGACTCTTCTCAGGATTTGGAACAGGAGGTCAGTTGCCAGAAAGCAGTTGTGCAGATCAGACTGCTGACGGTCGCCAGCGATTCCGAAGGGCTGCGGATTCACGCTGCAGAACCGCGGCAGTTGCTTTGTTCTGCAGGACAAGCACCCGAACGGATTGGCCGGGGGCAAGCGACCTTATCACACGATTATCCCCGCGATGGCTCTTCGGGGCGATGAGCTGTTCCTGAGTTACGGAGTCATGGGCGGCTTCATGCAGGTCAGCTCCGATTGTGACTTCTAGGACCGCTGCTGTTGCTCAGAGTTACCGCAGCCTCAAGGCCACATCCAAGTCTTACAAGGAATGCTGCGAGGCTTCACCCCTCAAGCGGCCCTGGATTCTCCGCGCTTCTGCATATCGGCCGGCAGTCCGGACACGCAATCCCAAAATACTGGAAACGCTGGTGATATTAACAGCGAAGTCTATTTCGAGGAGGGTATCCCAGAGTCTACGGTTGAGCAATTGCGAGGCAAGTGATCACTGAATGACTAACAACGGTGACCAACGTACTCGAGTGCAGCCATGGGACACGACGCTCGGATAGCCAGTGGATTCAGCCGTGGGATGCTCGGGCGCGGGCAAGTCATCCAGAAGCTCAACGCTCCGTCCGGGCGCTTCGTTTGGGCGGCCGGTTCCGACTTGCGGGCCGATGGTCACGCTGCTCCCCAAATCTAACGTTGAAAACGGCTGGTCACATACGACGCTGCCGTTCACTGCCAACTGTAACGGAACAGTAAGAAGGAATATATCTATCATGTAAATAACATCCCACATACCAGATTGTTGACGGCGGTACTCTCTAAGGTCTTTCGTCGAGTCGGGGCCTTGAATCTGCATCTTTGTTAATGTGGAAAAGAGTGCAAGTAATGAGATACCTGCCTTTCCCCATCCGGCAAATGGCACGACAATGACTGTGGCATTATCCTCTCCGCCCAGCTCCTCAGCGAACGAAAGTATGTTTTCTGCTGCGGCTTTCGGATCGGCAGCACCTCTGGCAAGATCCACAATCTCGCTGTCCGATAACATGGACGAGATCCCATCGGAAACAAGCACAGCATATGCCCACTCAGAACCTGCGCAGATGGGTCATCCAGCTCCGAAGTCGGAGAACCACAAGCCGCACCTTTCAAAAGTTTCGTCCGCACTTCTGGCTCCGGGGTCACCCCAAACTTTTTGTATCGCAAGTCACCAAGACTGAGGTAATTATGAGCATGGACCGCTTTCTCATGGTCAGATGACGAACCATCGTGTGTTGGCGAGAGCGCCCATCCATCTGGAGTGGTCAGATTGAGGCCTGCAGAAATGCTACAGAGACCCACCTTGACTCTCCAAAGGAGTCAGTCGTCAATGCGCTGCCCATCATCCTCCGCAGACGGATGGCCTCAACCCGCGCATCGGCATGATGATTCTCCGTCATGGGAATCGCTTTGCCTCCGTCTGTTGAGCAAAGTATGACCCGCGTATCTCTGAAGACAGGCCATGAACAACAAAAAAGGGGACACATCACGCACACACTCACCCGCAATGTGCAACCCTGATCGGAGTTGGTCAATGTCACAGCGCAATTCAGATTGATCGACCTACGTTAAGGCCAGTCGATCTGCAGCGAAGAAGGGAGTCGCGGGTGCATCTAGGGAGTGTAGAATAGCCACAGACGCGGTCGCACCACAACTCTGCGCCATGGGATCCACTGAGATATTTCGATCGACCTAGTCTCCAGTGGGCATCCAGCGTGCGAAGGTCCAAATAGACGCACCTCGAAGAAGGCCAGGGTCATACGGGCCTCCAGATCCAACAACGGGGCGTTCTCATTCTTCTTGACCCATGGCATCAACGCGCCGCCCTTGAACCGTTTGAAGTAGCCCCCGAGTTCGCGAATCCAGTCGTACAACTCGGGCACCATCGACTTATCCACCGATTCCACCAGACCGTGGAGCTCCTGCCGCAGGTACTGCGAGACGCCGGACCCACCGTGCCTGAATCACGTCCGGTCAAAAGGCCCTGCGGAAGTAGTGGACAGCGCATGCGCACCCGTCGTATATCCCAACGAGAACGGCCTGGCGTGCGAGGACGTCGCCGACTCGAGACGGATCCCAGACCACTCCGTGCATTTTTTTGACGCTCAGGGCGAGTTCATTTGGATCGAGAGACAGGGTCGCGAAGGAATAGAAGTCTTCTTGCTGCCTTGGAAGATAGCTCGAGAATGTGCGAATGAACGTGGCATGCGAGTCTCACCCTCGCGTTCCACGCGACGTGGCAGTCCCGATGACCTACGCGACACAGAGTCGGCACATGCGCTTCACCAGAGAATCTCCCTTACCTTGGGTGAGGAGAGCGGCACGCGGATTAGACCACCAGGACTGCCTGCTCGGACGTAGTCATGATACGACTTTCGGAGGATTCTGCAATGAGGGAGGAAGCTTTGGTAACGACCAAGCATGCTACCCGCGCAGTTATAGCATGAGGTGTGTAGTAGAGAGTGCTTTACGACAAGTGTGCATGTCAACAACGAACAACAACTTCGAAACTTCCAGTTATCGAATTTGTAGTAGATTGAATATGCGTAGGATAGATATGCTGGTGCTAGCAGT